CCATTGCAGGACTTTCTGATTGCGCGTTTGCACTTCGCCAGTTTATCCGGATATCCGGATAATCTTGAGCCAATCAAACGCCCGTAATTGCGATCCTGTGATTTTGCGCCATCACGTTCATCAGAGTGACACGTCAGAGAGAGAGATAGAGAGAGAAGGGAGAACACGAGCGACCGACACTAGACGGCTAGAGCTCACTGTACGTGGCACATGAAAAGCTCCGCTCTATTGCCCAATGCCAGATCGCAGTGGCTCCAAGGCGTTCACAAGCACTGAGCAATCGCGTGGTCTCGGCACCGTAGTGTGTCGAGATGAGTTAGCTCGCGATGCGTATCGCGGACTTGATCCCCAGAGAATAAGCGGCGCTGCCCACTTCTCATGGCGGTACTCGGCGACATCGCCGCATCGGTGCTGTCTCGACCCAGTAGACAACAACTCGACTAGTGTTGACATATTTTGATAACTTAGTCAGCTACGGCGATAGTAGGCATGGTTTTGTATCTCTAACTGACAACTTCGGTCGTCGAGGGGTGTGTTGTCGATGCAATGAACGACGGATGCGTGTCGCCGACTGCGACGCGGGAGGCGCTGGTGCGAGACCGCGACGTGGCCATCGTCAAGTGTCTGTGCTCCTTGCTGCGGGCGCCTTCCATGTACGGTGGGACGAGGAGGCAGATGATGTATGCGATGACCGTGCGCCACGCGTCGCCAACGTCGTCGCTCCAGAAACTGCCGCCGAGCGACCGCAGCGTCTCAATCATGGCGAGGCCGAGGCTGTCAAAGAACTCGAGCTTGACGCCATACTGAATATGGCGCAGTGCCAGGGCTGCAATGTTATTTGTGGCATCGGCCGAGTGCAAAATGTGGCGGATCGCACCGACAATGTTGACCAACGCCTTGCTTTGTACGTGCATCGAATTACGAAAGACCGGTCGCGTTGCCGGGTCGATTGCGTACAAGTTGGTGAAGAAGACGTCGTAGAACTGAACGACGGCCGATGACTCGGGCGGCGCGTCCGGGTCCGAGTTGACTTGGAGCTTTCGCCGCTCGAGCTCGGCGCGTAATTTCGCGCCAATAACGACTTCCCACGACCGCGTCATGAGCTCTTCGTCCTTGGGCGTCGGTGCGCGCGTGGCGGTAAAGTTGGGTGCGTATTTCTTGAGCAGTTTGGTGTGGCCCCGCGCGAGCAAAAGTTTGCCGTTGCCGTCGACATTGACTTTGTACTTGTACGACGGCCCAGAGAAAAATGTGCCCATGACAGCGCAATGGAAATTAGCCACTGATTGGGGATGACGGGGCGACCACTGAGCTATCACGTATAGCGTCGTAAGCTTCCAAGTTTCAACAGACAAGTGGTAGAGACAAGCGCACACACCACAGTGCATAGGTGTGCTATCTTTCAGCCGTCTCGGACTATAAAATATATACCTCGTCGACGTTGAAACGGGTGGAAGATCGTCCGTTTGTTCGATACTCCCACAGCTTGGGGTAATTGCCTTGAACTGTTGGCAGTGATGCGATCGGTCGGACTACGTAGAATGAGCGGCATTGGCGTTCCGAGACATACGACGAAGCTGAACCCGGGTCGGAGCTTATCTGCCATTCGAACGAGCCTTCGACTCTAATATATATCGCTGAAGACAACGGCCGCTGCATGAAAATTTATCTATCTATTCGAAGCCGCACGCGAGGCAGCCTCACAGACAGCAATCTTCCCAACTGCCACACAGCTCGCTCGTGCGCCAGTTGGGATGAGCGCCGACATACGTAACCCTGGATGCGAGGATCAGAGTTGTGCGAGACTTGGACGTACAGCTCGTCAATGCTCATTCCGATGTGGCGTTTTCCATAATATATGGCGTCCCAGCTCTGCGTCCAGTCAAGGGCCTCCTCGTATAAACATATTGCCCGTGTACATCATGCTACATTGTATTGGTAGAGAGAGGGTCGCGAAGAGGAGCTGTCATAAAGACGAGGGGTGAATATGGCCTGTCGAGTGCGGTACGACGTTCCGGTCTCAGTGTGCACATATAAACACCGCGGTGGGAGCGACCGCGCACAGGACATGCACACGATGACGAGCTCCGATTGCACTTGCAGCACGCAACCTCGTGAAGAGCTACGTTCATGGCATGATTTGCCACAATGATAAACATGTCAGCTACGCGCCAACGCTCGCGACAGCGGCACAAGGCTTGGGCTCGGCAACTTGTGGCGCGTTGCATGTTGGTTACGCTCAATTAGTGTACATATTATGTACAGTTCATTCCGCAGCACCACGTTATCACCAGCTGTTCCCACGTTATCACCAGCTGTTCCCATGTGTCTATAGTGTGCAATGTGGAAGTGTTGTCGTCGCTGTGGCAACGACGTGACAACAACGGAAGATTCTGTCATTCTCGCTCGATCACGAGGTCGTACTTACAGCGTGCATCGTGACGACCACGGACCCCGCACAACCCTACCGCAGTCGAGCAGGTCAACTAGCAGTTGAGAATTCCTCGTATGTTTTATGCTACAACGTTGATTCCCAAGCAAAAATGGCTTAATTCAAACGTTCGTTATCTCGAGTGTGCTAAAGAAAGGGCACGATGAGTCTCCCCTATGTCAGCCTCATCCTCCCCACGTTTTTCACTACACTGGTCGAAGGTACTATGACGGAGGTTCTTTTGTTGGCGCGATCGCTGCGACTCGGACTGAGAAGGCCGGGACGTCTACGACATACACTGGGGTAGAATGAGCTCTACCGACAGAAGCTCTCAAGCGCAACAACCAAATAATAGATCCTTGCTATGACACTATGGAGTGTCCCAGATTGTCTGCTGTTGACAGTTTAGTTCTGATCCAAGCGAGTTGCTCCTTTGTAAAACAAAATTCACAAAGCATTTCGCCGCCCGATCCCACCACGACAGGCTATGGGCACGTCAAATTTCCGGTGGTTCGCACGAGTGCTAGTAGATGCAAGAAAACTCATTTTGTATGTACGGCACCCGCAGCAGACGACGTTAGATACCATAACGAACGACGGCAGCATCCAGAATTCGCTGCAGAATCGCTGCGAGCTCGGCTGTAGTCATCCGATCGCTCGGCTCTGGCGCCACGCAACGGGCGACGATGTTAGAGTAGTTTTCTTCGCACTCCTCCGAGAGAGGCGGGCGGAAACCGTTGAGTACCAGCTCCCGTAGCACGGCTTCGTCGACGTCGTCGTTGCCATACGGCAGCTCGAGCGTGTCGAGCTCGGTCAAAATCACGCCAAGCGCGTACATGTCGGACGCCGTTGTGCGAGCGTCCCCGCGGAGGACCTCGGGTGCCGTCCAGCGCAGCATTGCGCTGGCGCCGTCTCGGTACGGCGTCGTGCCGGGGACACCAACCTTGATAAAATGCTGGCTGGAAAAGAAGACGTTGTCGCTCGAGAGGTGCCCGTGCACGAGGCCGCTCGCATGGCAATCGGCGAGCGCGTTGGCGATGCAGTATGCGACTTGGACTTGAACCAGCTCGTACGAACTAAAGCGGTGCTCGCGCGGCACGTGACAGAGGAGGTTCCGAAGATCTCCCTCGTCCAGGTGCTCGACCGCGACGGTATCGGGCCCGGTCTGTGCAAAGATAGGCACCACGAACGGCGACGAAAACCTACACAATGATGTCAAGCAGTATGCACACAAAATGCGATATTGTACGAGAGGATCGCGTCAACAGGCTCGTTGGCCGCCGGCGAGAGGTAGCGCTCGTCTGCGATTCGGAGGCCGACTGCCTCACCCGGCGTTGGCAGCTCGTCGCTTGCAATCTGCGCGTCGTTTGAGAATCTGTACCGAACGCTATGTAAAGGTCACCGTACCGTGCCCACCGGTGCGCAGAGCGCGCCGTGCAGTGCGCGCATGGCGCTCATATCGCCGCGCGCGAGAGCTTCGGCCAGTGCCGTCTTTCCGTCCTACGCGCCTTGAGAAAGCGACGCCAGATTGGAGCTGGGAGCATACCGAATTGGTCGCCCCCAGATCGACGCCGGGGGCTTGAAGCAGAACCTGCAAAACCGCGACGTTGCGCGTTTGCACGGCAATGTGGACAAGTGGGTTGCCGTTCTATCCATGACGTTGACTTCTTGACCATTAGCTGGTTGGTCGTTCGTTGCACCTCGTCCGTGCAGTTGGGGCGGCATGAGACGTCGAGAAGGCGCTGGAGTGCAACCGCGTCACCTTCTTGTGTGGCTTGCACCAATTGCTATAAGGATTGCCGTCTTAGCCTGGGTGCATCGGAGGGTGGAGTGGAGCAAGTCCCACCGTCGCGTGTTCACGCTCGTTCGCGGCCTGTGCGCAGATCGCTGCCACGCGGCGCTCCTCGGCCGTGCCGATGTCGAGTACCCGAAGAAGCTCATGCACGCCGTCTGGAAGCGCTGGTACCGACTCCTGCAGAATACATGTGAGACAACGGCGCGGGCGCTTGGGACACCTGTGCGAGGCGAGCAACGTTGTTGTTGAGCGCGGCTCGGAGGCGCGCGAGTAGCAGCCGGAGCGTGTCGTCCTCGTCCGACTGGGCTGGACTTGGTGCATGACAGCCAGTGCACACGGCGTTAAAGTCGAACAGCAAGTTACACATTCGGCAGCGCATCGCCCAGTTGATGACGAGGCCTCGCTTGTGCAGCGTTCGTAGCCGCCGCAGCAGCACGACGAGCTTGTCGTGCGTCGATGGAATATGGTCGCATGCGCTACAAGCCGCTTTTATTGCGTGCCGGCTGCCGCAGTTGGTGCAAGCCATGTCCAGTGTCCGAAGCAACTCTTCCTGCAGCGTGATTCGTTGGCACTTGTCTCAAAGCGATCGAAGAGGGTCACGTACACGAACGGACGCCGCCCTCAAGAGCGGCAGGAGAGCAGCCATCGACTCGTTCGATTCGGCTTCTTCGAGAAGCGTCGGTCCCTAATGCCATCCGGTATAAATGTCAGCTCCATCGGCGAACGCGCTGCTACCACTCTGGGCGAGATACGAACGTCGGCGTCGGCATCCAGGAGCTGCACTACGCCAACCGCATCCATGTTGATGACGGCGTACAGCAGCGGCGTCGCTCCGTCCTTCTACATCAATGCTGTCGTGAGCCAAGACAATATGTTGGCAAACCTCGGTTCGAGCGTCAACGGCGGCGCCGGCGCGCACAAGCCCATCGACAATCGGGTACCGCTGTGTACTGGCCGCCAAATGCAGCGGCGTCCGACCGTCCTACGCCGCATCATTTGCTTGGCTCTCGACGACGATGCAACCAACCACACGCGCGTCGACGTCCGCACCAGACGCCAACAGCACTTGGACGCAGTCCTTGGCGTTGCACATCGTCGCCAGATACAGCGGCGTCGCGTCGCCCTAGAGGTAGCGAGATGGCATCGTCATCGGATGCCCAAAGATGTTTACTGGCAAGAGTGCATTGGGGTCCATGCCCGCAGCGAGCTGCGCTTCAACGACGGAGGCCATGTCGTTCGTGAGCGCGCGGTGCAAGGCGTCAAATGCCTAGCGCAAAGACATGTCTCACATCTATACCGGAGAAGCACACATACGTACATCCTTGCTTGCCACCGCCGCGGAGACGTGCGTCTGCAATGTCCCAAGGATCTCGGTGACCGTCGGACGTGCATCGGGATCCGCCAAAAGGCACTGCTCTGTCAACGCTCGGTACCATGGCTCACAGTTGTCACGGAGCGTCGGGCGGAGGGAGCCGTCGAGCACGCTGTTTACAAATGCAGCGCGAGGCATGGAAGTCATGGAAGGCTGGTCGTAGTACGGCAATTGGAGCGTGTCAAGCTCCGTGAGGAGCACACCAAAAGCATAGACGTCGGCTTCGATCCCGTAGCGCCCCGAGCTACCAGTGCGGAGTGCCTCAGGCGCGGTCCAGTAGAGTGTGCCGGGCACGGCTGTCAAAATTGTTGCGCGCTCGCGAGCCGCGCCCAAATCGCCGACCTTGATGTAGCCCATGCTACCGACGAGCACGTTGAGGCTCTTGATGTCGCCGTGGGCAAAGCCCATCGAGTGCAAGCTCTGCAGCGCGTTGGCAACGACCCACGCGACCTCGAGCTTGGTCATGTTGAGGGACGTTGGCGCACCAGCCAGCTTCTTATCGAGGTACGTGCGCAGACTGCCCCCGTCCATGAATTCGAGAACGAGCGCCGGTGACTCCGAATGGCGATCGGCGATCGCCAAAAGCTCCACCAAGTACGGTGACGCACACCTACGACGACTGTTAGAGATCGGAACATGCAACAAGAGGTAGAGAGACGAGAGCATCGCGTTGATTTCAGTTCGGAACGACCGGACATGCGCAGCGTTGTTGGGGCACTTGACAGCAACGAATCGCCCGCGGTACGAGCCCTTGGAGACGCTGCCGTTGCCCCCGACCCCAAGGTGAGAGTGAACGTCTTTGATGTCGTTCAGCGTGATCTAAGTACGTCCATGCAGGTGTACGTCCTATAGATGCTGACGCACATACCTCGTCGACGGGACGTTGCTTGTGACGAAAGATCATGTCGGCGATGTCCGAGTGACCACGCTGGATGGCCAACGAGAGTGGCGTTTTCCCTTCCTACTCGACGACAATGCGGTAAGCGTGTACTACCTCGCATTCGTGTCGTACATGGTTGTGCGTATCGACGTCCAGATGCGGCTGCTTCAGTAGCAGCTCCAAGAGGGCCGCATTGTGCGTCATGACCGCCCAATGCACGAGCGAGCACCCGACCTGTCAAGCACGATACGATGTGCCAAACGCCAAAGAGACATCGTGTACCTCGTCCGTGACGTTAGCGCTGAGCGGGCGCTCCAGCAGCATGTGTACGCAATCCACGGCACCGTGCTTGGCTGCCTCGAGAAGGGCCTCTTTCTACAATTGTCATGCGCGTCGTTGCAGCAAGGCGTCGTCGGTTCCTACGTGTTCGATAGCGTCGTCGAGCAGCGAGATGAGTGCCGCGTTGCGGCTGTTTTGGGCGAGGCCCCACGGCGTGTCACCATCCTACGCAGCGGTGACGAGCCGCATCGGAAGACGCTTTGTACGTAATTGGTCACGTCAAAGTCAAAGCCCGCGTTTAAAAACACGTCAACGACGTTGACGTGACCGGTGGCGACGGCCAAATGCAGGAGCGTCGTGCCTCGCTATGTCACAGACATGAGTTGCCGTCTATAGACGCGTCGTACGGCGTCGCGCTGGTTGACGACACCACGCGGTGAGGCGAGCAGCATCGATACGATCTCGGCATGGCCTTCCTGAATCGCAATGTGCAGCGGTGTCAGGCCCGCCTAACAAACACTCACCGCGTCAAAGAGGCAAGCGAGTACGGAGATGGAGTACGTGGTAGAGTGCCGTCGCGTCGGCGCCAAGGTCGACAAGTTGCGGCACAAGCGATGTGAGGCCCAAGCGACAGGCCAGGAAGAGCGGACTCTCACCCCACTACACCTTGTGGTCATCTCTGATCGATGTGGCATACTTGGACGTACCGCATCGTCGTTGACATTGGCGCCAGCATCGAGAAGCAGTTTGGCTGTCGGCACGTGGCTGCCGAAGAGAGCACGCATCAACGCTGTGGCCCCCCGCTAGACCATGCAAATTTGTGTAAGAAGGTTGCGTATTCGAAGCGCTGGCGCACCGCATCGCGGAGGTTAATGTCGGCACCAGCCGTCACGAGTGCGATCACGAGAGGCAAGTGTCCATGCATTGCAGCCATATGCAGCGGCGTCGAGCCATACTACATACGCGCCTGTCAACGCGAGTCGTGCAGATGACAGCAACGGCGTACCGTGTCAAGCGCGTCGAGAGCGGCACCGGCGCTAATGAGCGCGTTCAAGACGTCGAGTTGGTTCGTATCGGCAGCCAGGTGCACGGCGCTCCCGATCTAGCATGGTTCGCATCCAAGGTTCCTCGGAGCGCGCCTACCTCGTCCGCCGCATTCGCATTGGCACCGCGCGCCAGAAGCATCACAACCATCTGGGGCTGGCGGCCGGCAACGGCAAGCAAAAGTGTCGTCTGGCCGACCTACGCACGCCATCTCATGCACCAATCCATCAGTCGCGTCACGCGTACTCTACTCGCCGACTCGATCGGCACACCTTGGTCAAACAGCGCTGCAGCCACCTCCTTGATACCAAAGAAGGCGGCACGAAGGAGGTGCTGCTCGGGCTATCAAGACGACCTCGCATCACGACACGAGTAGAAATGAAGAATCGTGGACGTACACTGAGACTCTCGTCCGGCGACTGGAAGTCCTACGGTCCACAAGGTAAGACGCACGTTGTATCGCGTGTGAGCTCCAACCAGAAGAACACGTGGGGCGGGCTGGGGCTTGAACGCGACTCGGGGCTCGGGCTCGACTTGGGGCTGCACCAAGGTGTTGCTTTCCGGTGCGGCGCGCAACTACGGAACAATCATCTTGCCGTTCTGTCCCCAAAGGCAGCACCGTACCTGGTCGTCCCGGAACGTCCGCAGCGACAAGACGAGCTCGGATTGCCTACGGAAAGACTTGGGTGTCGGAGCGGCGCCGCAGTTGGAACACTACTTGGCGAGCAACTCGGGGCGCAACACGTCGACAAGGTCGCTTGCTGTGGGACGATCCGCTGGGTCTGTGGCCTTGCAGCACTTGGCGAGCGCAGCGTACCACGCGGTATTCTCTTGCTCGACGACGTCCGGAAACAGCGTTTCGAGGAGAATCCCAAAGGCATAAATGTCGACGGGGGTACCGTACGTCTCTGGACCCGACGTAAACATTTTGGGGGCCATCCACTCAGTAGTGCCGATGCCCGTCGTCATGTGCGTCGCCACGCGCTTGGCAATGCCGAGGTCGGCGACCTTGATGTAATGGCTGGACGAGAGAAGGATGTTTTGGGTCTTGATGTCCCGGTGCACAATGCCTCGTGCGTGGAGGTCCTTGAGCGCGTTTGCAACGACCCACGCGACCTCGAGGTGCGAGTACCCGACGGCAACAGGCGTTTGGTTCCACTCTGCGTCAAGGTGCGACCCAAGGTCGCCGCCATCCATAAACTCGAGGAAAAGCTGCGGGTCCGCGTCCTCGTCGGCCGTCGCCACAAGCCGCACCACGTACAGCGATGGATTGCTACACAGCGACTGAGTGCGGACGCCAACCACTTGGTCGTACGCTTTCATGACGTTGATTTCGCGGCGAAAAACATCGGCCCGGAGACCTTGGTTCTTGAGCATCTTGACGGCCACCTCGACGCCGTCCAGCGTGTCCTTGAACACAATGCCATAGCCACCGGCGCCCAACCGTGCCATCGGCGGCGGCGACCGACGAGGCACCTACGTTTCCTTTCAGCACATGGGATTGCAAGAAGAACGACTGGCGTACAAGGGGAGCTGTTGTCGCTTGGGCTGTATGCAGCAAGCGCACCATGTCGTCGGCAGCCATCTTGATGGCGAGCATCATGGGCGATTCGCCAAACTACACCGCCAAGCATGACAGACGAAGATTCCGTAGAGATTCTTACAAACCTTGTTGATATACGTGGTTGGCATCCCCGGTCGCGCAAGCAGCTCGGTGAGCAGATCGTGGTGCCCGCCAAGGACCGCGAGATGCACGAGCGTGTTCTCATACTAGGCGTCGTAAAGGTGTAAACCGTGCAAAGCAGAGCGCAGAACCGCGTCGTACCTCGTCCACCTCGTGCGCGCTGAGGCCCTTGTTTAGCAGCGCAAGGACGCCTTCACCGTCGCCTTGGCGCGCTGCATGGAGCAAGGTCCGTTTCTACAGCAGGACACCGACTGCAGTCGAGACCTCCATGGAGGTAGAAGGTGCTACCTCGACACGCAACGCTTGAAGCAAGTGGACAATTGCCGACCGGTTGTTGGCCATGGCCGCAGTGAGCGGCACCAGTCCATTCTACGCAAGTCCGTGCATTCCTCGGATGACTCTATTTCGTTGACGCACGTTGGCTGCCGTGTCCAGCGCCGCACCCGCGTAGACCAGTCGGCGCACAACGGCCTCGTGGCCACCGGACGCTGCAATATACAGCGCCGTCATACCCGTCTACAGACTCCATGACATTATCGAACAACGCTGTGGTATGTCATACCCGGCGTTCGATCACATTGATGTCGGCGCCGGCTTGTAGGAGCAGGTCCACAACCTCCAGGTGGCCACCCCCGGCTGCCACGACAAGCGACGGCACGTTCGTCTACGCGACGTGACGGCACTTGGTCACCCGAAACCTCGTACGTACAGCCGAGCCGTCATTGGCGTCGGCACCCAACGTGAGGAGGGCCTCTACGGCGGCAGCGTGCCCGCCCGTCGCTGCGCACCGTAGCACGGTCGTCCCATCCTAGCGCGACGATATGATGATAAATGCCGATATGGCTAGGACGTGTACCAATGAAGCGGCGTTGACGTCGCCACCCGCGCTCGCAAGCACGTGCATCATTGCGCCGCGGCCACTCATGGCCGCAAAATGCATGGCCGTGATACCCTCCTACCCAAAGTCATCTCCTGATGTGTGTATGGCTTTCCCACCATATTGGCGTCGCGGGCGCTCATGCCGGCACGCAAGAGCTGCGACGCGACGTCCACGTTCCCGCTCGCAGCGGCCGCCATCAGAGACGTTGTGCCATTCTATGTGGCGGTGGCTTTGTGTGGTATGAATCGATGTGCGCGGTGCGCGTACCCGATCGTGCAGTGCGACATTGGCATTGGCCGCTAAAAGCGCTTGCACCGTTTCACTGCGTCCAGCGGCAGCGGCTTCCGTCAAGGCGGTTGTTCCGCTCTACGGACCATCGTGACGCTGACGATACAATGAATGCAAGCTGTTTACTGCCAGCTGAAAGTTGACATTGGCTCCGCCGGCAACCAGACGCGCCACGACGTCCTTGTGCCCTAGTTGCGCGGCGCGAAAGAGCGGCGGTGCAGCCATCTACGCGACATAGTAGTGGTGGTGATGCAGACATTCTTCTGGACCGATATCGGTCGTACCGCATCCAACGCATCGGCGGTCGCGCCGGCGTCCAGCAGCGCCGACACGACATCGACGTGACCGTGCATCGCCGCAATCGCGAGCACCGGGTTGTCATACTATTCGGTGCGTATTAGTATGTAGCTCGACATGGATGTAGCTCGACATGGATGGTCGGCGTGTGAACCTGATCGACAGTGTTGGGATCCGCGCCGTTATCGAGTTGCTCCGCAACAAGACTGGTTTGGCCGCTCGCCGCAGCCTCCAGCAGCTTCCGACTTGGCATTGTCGTCTTGTCTATAGTGTAGAGCGTCCTTCACCAAGTGCCGTGGACCATTCGTGTAAGGTACCGATGCGTGTAGTAGCTTGCGTCAAAATACAAACTGCGTGTAGCAGCTTGCGTTAAAATGCAAACTGCGTGGCGTGCGTCTGACACAAGCGCCCGTCGCAATCCCGTGCAATCGATTGTGACAGGTTAATGGCGGGCCAAATGATAACTATTTATTTATAGAGGTATAACGAGTCCACAACGGAGCAACTTCAAGTGATATCACTGGCGATTTGAGGTTGTGCGACCGTGCATTCTCTGCACTTACTCGGCCATACTATCGTGCTTGGTGTACGATCGTAGACAGCTCTGCGCTCCTCGGCACCAGAGCCGGTGAGCAGGCACGTCGTCGGTGGTTCCTAGTCAAGAGTACCTCTACTTAGCTGAGCTGCTGACCTCTACTGTATTTATTTATTCTTAAACTCAGTGGAGCTTAAACAACACATGCTTGGTGCCACGTCGCTTTGTCCATTGACCGCACCGACCTCACATTTGGTACATGCATTCGATTCCAATACACTTAGACGAGATACGACGGCTTCTTTGTGAGGTGCTCGATCAAGAAGGCGAGCTTGGCGTCCATGGCTTGCATCTTGGTCTCCATCTCGTGGCAATGACCACACGGTGCACTGCGCGCATCCAACATTGTTGAGCGCACCACCGACGGCTCGTCAACGTCGACCGAGGTGGCGTAGTGCTCGAGCTTGCGGATGAGCCGCGTGGCGCGCAGGTTGGAGATGACAAGCGTCGCTGCCACGTCATCGGCGGTCCACACGTTGCGGTGCGGCTCGAACGGCATGCGATCGGTGAGCTTCTGGAAGAGGTCGGGGCGGCGCAAGAGGTAGATCTTGAGAACGTCGCGCAGCACGAGAAAGAACTCGTCCACAAACGACCGTTTGCTACATTGTCTCTGCGTCAACAACAATATTGTCCTTGTGTGGTGGGACGTACGCAAAGTTGATGGCGACGATCTCTTGGTGTGACGTAATGACGACCGCCAGCATGATGTTGACCAGCACCATATAGACAATCGACTGGCTCGCCCAGAACCACACAATGGCGAGGTCGTTGACGTCTTTGATGAGCTCGTAGCTCAAGCCGCCATAGAGCATGTTGGTGCACGTGACCAGCGACTTGTCGAGGCTGCTAAATTCCTCGAGTTGAGGGCCAAAGAGCAAGCATCCGGACGTTGCGAGCGAGAGGACGACGAGCCCAAACACAAAGAGGAACGATCCAAGGCGTTTGATGCTGGTCACGATCGTGTTGGTCAACACGTTCATCGTCGGGTGGAACTGGAACGCCGCCAAGACACTATCATATTGTCATATGATCGTTAGACGGCCAACACAGCAGAGCAAGGACGTACTGGATGGCAAGCTGGAGACAGGCGACAATCGAGACGACGTACACAAAGTTGATCGCGCCGCCAAACGAGTCGAGGAGGGCCGTTAAATCCGGCTGCGTGTTGGACTCCATGCGGTGGCGCTGGTAGTCTTGACCAGGCTGCTGTGTTTGGTTGGACTCGAGGGGGAGCAAGTACAACTCGTCATAAAACGAGTTGAGCGTCCGCAGCTGGGTCTCGAGGCCCGAGTTGAAGAATTTGGTGCAAATGTGAAACCACGCGACATAGTAGAGCGCGACGGTAGCGATCGAGCACCACTCGACGAGCGCGATGCCGAGGCTGCACGACCACGGTACGTGGCCTCGCACTTGGCGCAGAAGCGCTTTGACGCGGCGAAAGAGCACGTACAGCACGAGCAGCCACACGAGAACGTCGAGTGCAAGGTTGAGATGCGACGTGGTGTACGGGTTGGTCGGGATGCTCTGCACCTTGTAGCTCGGGTTGCAAGCGCCGCCTTCGTCGACCTCAATGCGAAAGCGCTGGTACGTAAAGAGGTCGAGCTGGCCGTTGTACGTTGTGATCTTGACGACAAACTCGCGCGTCGTGATCGAGAGACCATAGTTTTTCTGCGCACTCTCTCGGAGCCAGCGCTGCCAGCGACCATACGGGTCGGGGTTCGCCGCCGCAATGTACAGCGAGTTCCACGGAATGTAGCGCATGTTGCGCCAGCTCAGCGGGCCCGGCGTGTCGACGTCGATTTCGACATCAAAGTCATAGCACGGTCCGTAGTTGGCGGCAAGGTCGGTCGCGCTCGGGCACTCGGTCGCGTTGGTGTTGAATGTCAAGAAGGTCGCAGCACCAACGAGCGCATGGTACGAGCTCACGCGGCCGCGAAGCTCGCGCGGCAAAACCGAGCCTGTATGCGACACATTGCGTCATTTATCGTGTCAGGGTATCGCAAAGGGCTGCGTACCGTTCAGCGACGTGTTTGTAAAGAGCGCGGGGAGCACCGAGTTGTTGACCCAGCGCGGAATGTCGTCAAGCGACCGGATTTTCATAAAATTCACCACCGTCTTGGACTGCACAACGTCCTACTGATACTTAGCACTAGAAACATGGATAATATTGTCGTACCGCCTTGGGGTTGAGTGTCGTGGCGACACCGTGGTTGGCCATGTAGACCCGTTGGATCGGCGTGTGGGTCAGTACCATCGCGATAAACGCGACAAAGAGCAACAGCGGCACGGGCAGCGTCAGAAAATGACCTCGTAGCTGCTTGCGCGCGGTTAGCGCAATGCCAATCGCGTGGGCTGGAATCGACGCGATCGCGTCAGCGGAGGTCGATACGTCCGTCTCGGAGCGCGGGGTCACAGGTTCAAAGTAGTCGACAGTCATGGGAGGCAGCCAAACGAAAAATAATCGTGCGCGCGTCGCTTCGGTGGAGAAGACCAGTTGCAGTACAATATATATATTGAAGTCCGAGTAGCCGAAACGAGGTTCTCATCGCCTTCCATTTACTGGATTGTTGCTTTTGCAGCTGCCCCATTCTGTGGACACTAGAGCTTTTGCACTACGCATTTTGCTCGATGGCTGTAGGTCATCGTGTAGTTGAAGAAACAAGAACCTGGTGATGTTCACCATGGTGTCGTCGTACGAAGCGGGTTAGGTTTCCATCGGCGCAACGCCGCTCTTCTGTCCTGCTCTTGTTCTACTAGTAATCTGAGGTAGGTCGGCAGGACCTCATTCAACGAGTATCCTTGGTGCAATGCGCGTCTTTGCGACAAGGCATTGAGACTCTTCTCTGCCGACGTGTGTGTTGCGCTGGCCTCCGACGGCGAGTACGACACTTGCATCCTAGCGCAATGGCCTCAATGTTATGGTCCAGACGACGGAACCATACGAAGGAGGCTGATGCGAGAGCGCACGGTCGTGCCTGCGTAGAGCTCGCATCAGAGGTGACCGCTTCGTTTCTTCCGAGAGAACTAAAACAATTGGTCCACTGCACATCCCGCTCCGCACAGTGGTCCCACGCATCAATTGGCCAATCCGCTGCCTCACAGTACTGAGTGTTCCGCAGTACAGTAACTTGGGAGAAATTTCAAACAAAGAATCGATGCGGTCACGTGGCGTAAGCTCCTGGCGTATGTTTGACGTGGCGCAAGACACTCTTGCTGCTTGGCCCTCATGGTGTTGGTCGGGGATGTTGTGGCTGGCTCTATTAGTAAGTTGATACCCAGACAGGAAGGTGCAAGATGTTCCGCCTCAGTTCAAAAGCGCAATAGGAAGTCCTAAACTCGACGTTCTTGATTCTCAGCTCTCTATTGTACGAGCTGCGGGCTCCACTCGTGGAGGGCCAAGCACTCGTAGTCGTGCAGACATGGACTAACCAAGTCCAACCCTCCTAATGTCCAAGGCCACGCTTCGAGCTATCGACAGTCTTGATTACGGTTTAAACTACCTTGGCGGCCGAGGCGTGGACATTGCCGTGGTCTTCCGCTTGCAGACTCTCTTCAATGTCGGCAGCAAAAAGCGCCGCGCCGACCGTGTTCGTAAACAAAAAGATAAAGCCAAAGAACGGAATCAGCTCAAGGTACATGCACTGCATGCCGAACGACGCGTACTCGAGCTTGCGCGCGTCGACAACCGCCTTTTGGTCTTCGTACTTCATGCCGCGCATTTCAAAGTACAAGAGATGGTACTCCCAGCCCTTGAAGCGGCCGTTGAGGTAGACGTACGCGATCGTGCCAATGATCGGGATAAAGTTGAGCGGAAACGTCACAATCAAAATGAAGATCTGCGAGAGGCAGCTCACCTTGCAGCACGCGCGGCAGGCGCGGCCGCAGCCCGAGTGCGCCTCGCTGTTCTCGACAAGCTCAGTAAAGCCACGGAGCTTGAGCGTCTTTTCAAAGATGGCGTCCATGAAGCACGGCGTGCACGTTTGCGAGTAGATGAGGACGACGAGGAAGATCTCGAGCACGACGAGAAAGATGGCGAGAACCCATGCCCAGCCCGCGGCCAGACCCGCCTTCTCGAGGCCGTACGCCTGCGGGTAGAGGCCAGCGCTGAAGAGCGTGATGACGGACGCGAGCGCAATGACGATCGTCATGAGCAGCGGGCAGAAGGTCGTGAGCCAGAGACTCGGGTGCGTCAGAAAGTACAGGATGCCCGCGACCGCGTAGTGACTCATCGCGCTTGGGTCGGGCAAATGCAAACTGGCAACGACGTTATCCGGTGTGTGTATAGTCTAGCTACACGCAACTCGCATCGAAGAGTCCTTATGGCGCGAGCGAATCATGTTTGCGTTTGGTGCAAGCTCACGAAGGATATGCATAGACCTGCGAAGCAAATAATACGCTGGTTCTTGCATGCCCTAAGTACTTTGCTTGCGGGCTTTTTTGTGCCTGGTCGTGCGACGAGGTCTCGTACCGGAATAATAGAATATAATGACAGCGGTAATGGGCGTGACGTACCGTCGGGAGCAGGAACACCGCCACGTTAAAGATATGTCTTGTATCTCGATGGAAAGCGCTGACCTCCCTCCTAAGTGCTCTGTCGTAAAGATGTCAGGTTGCCTCTGGGCAACGTCGCAAACGCGGGACCATGTCAATTAAGGGTGGTGTTTTTAGTGCGCGATGGCATGACCCGCGCGCTGATTGGCCCGATCGCACCAATCACAGCGCGCAGCTGCGTGGCAGCAAGATCCGAGCTTGGTCCTTGGCGTCGTACCAAAAGAGCAGCCAAAAGACCTCGCTGTCGTGTACAGAGCAGGCATGCGAAGGACACCCGTAGCAAGGCTGCTCTACATTCTGTAATGTCTCGAAACATTTTGTTTTGGGAGCAACCTTGCAAACTCTGAGCCCAGCTTGCGTGCGGTTTAAAAGGAGGTTGTAACTGAAGGGAAGATGGAGACGACATTTTATTCATATAGAAAATTAGACGGCCTTAGCATGCACGTAGCCGTTCTCTTGGGCTCGCAGACTCTCTTCAATGTCGGCAGCAAAAAGCGCCGCGCCGACCGTATTTGTAAACAAAAAGATAAAGCCGAAGAACGGAATCAGCTCGAGGTACATGCACTGCATGCCAAACGATGCGTACTCGACCTTGCGCGCGTCAATAATGTCCTTCTGGTCTTCGTACTTCATGCCGCGCATTTCAAAGTACAGGAGGTGCTCTTCCCAGGCCTTGAAGCGGCCGTTGAGGTAGACGTACGCGATCGTGCCAATGATCGGGATAAAGTTGAGCGGAAACGTCACAATCAAAATGAAGATTTGCGAGAGGCAGCTCACCTTGCAGCACGCACGGCAGGCGCGGCCGCAGCCCGAGTGCGCTTCGCTGTTCTCGACGAGGTCGGTAAACCCGCGGAGCTTGAGCGTCTTTTCGAAGATGGCGTCCATGAAGCAGGGCGTGCACGTTTGCGAGTAGATGAGGACGACGAGGAAGATCTCGAGCACGACGAGGAAAATGGCGAGGACCCATGCCCACGTCGCTGAGAGACCGGCCTCCTCGAGGCCATACGCTTGCGGGTAGAGGCCGGCGCTGATGAGCACAACGACCGACACGATACCGACGATGATCGTCATGATCATGGGGCAGAGCGTCGTGAGCCAGAGACTCGGGTGCGTCAGAAAGTACAGGATGCCTGCAACCGCGTAGTGGCTCATGCTTGGAGTCGGCGCAAAAGCAAAATGGGAACGGGAGCAAGTGACTGGCGCGAGATCAGATGGGTCGACTAGAATCACGCAACGTGGCATCCACACCGGATGGCCGAACCAAATGTGGACGTGGGTACATTTTTGTGGGCCAGAAATTCACCAAGTTTGTCAATCCAATTTCAGTACTGTAGGTTTTGGGACTATCTAAGTTAAGTCTTGTCGTTTGGATATAGACGCTTGGTGTAGTGTTGCAGTGATTGCTTGGGTGGAAGGCTCTAATTTGCATAATCGTCGACACCCTTGCATTTAAGCGATACGAGTGACGTAGAACGGCACGCTAAACAACGGAGGCTGTGCTGCGTTATGTGCCGCATGTCATGACCCAATGCGAGCCGCGTTTGCGTCCTTATTGGCGTGACCGTGGGACTTTAGCGCAAAACCCCACGAGGACCTTCTTGGTGAAGGGGCTTTCTGTCTTCGCAGTTGCACTTTTCACTGGAAATAACGTTACGAATCATTACATTAGACCGTGGGAGGAGGTAATGCAACGTCCCCAGCAAAGACAATCCATCGTCATTGGGCCATGGCAAGGGTCAATAAACAGGTTATTGACCCTTGGCCGTGGACATGCCGGCGTGACTTTGAGAAACTTGAGGGGAGTCGTGGACTGCAGCTGCACTCCTTTGGAGCTGCTGCGGTGTGCCAACTGAACTCTTCTTGGGTTGAGCCATCAGTCAACCTGTCGTTCATCGATATAGCTGCTAACTACATACAGAATGCATCTTCGTTCAAGTTTTGCGTACCCTGCATATATCGCGATTGCTTTTATGAAAACCTTAACGTTGTGTGGCATCGAGATGCTGGAGGGCGTTGGCGTCGTCGAGGACAAGCGCTCGGTACGCGTGGCCCATGACATCGCGCGGAATGTTGTCGACAGCCACAAGGCGATGAAACTGCTTGGGCGTTGGTATCTGCTTGCACGCATAGGCGTGGATGCTGCGAAGAGCGTCCGCCGAGTATGTTAGCGTGGCCGCGGCCAGCTTGACGTATGCGACAAGGCGCTGGCCGTCTCTGCACGTAACGACGGCGTCTTCGACAAGGGGATGCGAAGCGACGACTTCTTCAATCTCGAGTGCAGTTGTCGCTTCGGCGCCGAGCTTGAGGATGCCGTCTTTGGATCCGATGAGGTGCAGCTGCTGTGCTGCATCGACGTAGGCAAGGACACCGAGACGTTGGCCATCGTCCGCACCGACGCACATTTCACCGACCTGCTCATACGTTTCATCGAGGTTGTCAACTACCCAAGACACACACCTGTTTTGGTCCAAGGACTTCGTCCGTGGTCATGCTTTGGATGCGAAGGACGATCAACGACGACACTGGCAACCCGACTGAATGCACTAGGGGAGCTGCAATCGGCAGCAGCATCGGGTCGGACGCCGTGTAGATGCTTGTGGGCCCGCAAAAGACGCGGCGAAAGCGTAGGCAGGGCTGAAATTTGCTGCTTGCCGTGTGGAGGCTTCGAAGCGCGCGGGGCAGCGTCGGCACTGACGTCCCAACACAGTCGACGACGTCGACGCAAGCAATGGCTTCGCCGACCTTGGCCAAATGCATCACGTGCATACTACTCAGCACAAGACGTTTGGGCTACAAACACCTGACGTGAGCCAACGGCAAACTCGTGCGCACACCATAGGGTGCCACGTCATATCGAAAAATCCAAAAATAGAATATCGAAGCCTACCTGGTGGAGCAAGAGCAACTTGGAGAGGACGGGCCCAGAGACACTTGTGGACTCGAGAAGACAAAGGCGGCTGCCTTGCACGAGCGACGAGAGCGCGCCGACGAACAGTCCAATCGGCGTTTGCATCGAGAGACAGAGCAGCGTAGCACAGTGCGCGGCAGTCGCGTCAAGGCCTTCGATGACGTCCTTGTGGCTTTGTTCGTGGACGTTCCAAGCTTGCGTGATGGCGTCGTGTGTATGCAAAACGATCGCAATGTCCAACGACAGACAAGGCGGCCGCTACGCAGACCATAAACTTTCGTGTTTGGCGCTTCTTGTGCTGCGTACGCCATGGGTTGCCATCATCGTCGGCTGTACCAAGTTCGCGTAGGTAAAGTCCGCCTTGGCGACGTTGTCTCGCAATGAGATCACCTGCGGCGTTCAAACAATGTACCCTATCTGTTAGCACACAGAATTGTACCTTGATGGACGGTAAAAGGACTTTGATGTGGACACCCTCTTCCATGTGATCGACGCAGGCATACGTTGGGCGCAGCGCACTCGTTTGTGGCGGTAAAGCAAGTTGCCCTGAGAGCCAAAACTCGACACGACCACCGACCATCCAAGCTGCAAGCACGAGGCAGAGTGTGCTACGATCGCCATGAGCATACGTATGGTCCATCGAGTCCAAACCGTAGCGGCGATGCACTTAGCACCAAGAGACTGTCATAGCAACCAAACCCGATGCATTCGAGGCCATGGGCAAGCGCGGAAACGTGTGCCGCGATCTCGCTCCGAGAGGACAAAGTGACACCTGTGAGGCAGTCGGTGACCGACACTTGTGGATACGCATGTAGCATTTGCAAGACATGGGCGGTCACGTGCAGTTCGATAGCCGTCGGCGCGTCGACGCCGTCGACTATGACCGACGCTGCGTCATTGGTCAAGACCTCCGCGTCTGCAGCTAAGGACAAGATCGTGCTTTCTTCGCCACCAAGAGGATGCTGTGGCGCAGAGACCTCGGACGCATTGCATTGCGGCATCAATTCGAGCGCGGTGGGCGGGGTAGCGACTATTGTCTCTTCCAGAGGTTGGACAAGAGCTGTTGGACCAAGCGCTGACAATTCCGTCACGAGTGCAGTGGTTGTTGGCGTCGATGAGAGGTTGGATGGCGCCTCGGAAAGCTCCTCTACAACGCCGTTCTTGTGCTCTTCGTGCTGAGGATGCAGCGAGGCTATCGCCACTTCGTGCATGCTGTTCGATGAGCCAAACGCTACTGATGAGCGCCGAGACGACGCAAAACGTCGCGGCGAATTGTCGTCGTCCCTCTCGCTGCATACATCGTCGACAGGTTGAGATCCTTCGCCGTCCGAGAGACACAAGAGATGGTCCAATTCGACGCTCTCCATCGTCGACGATGGCGCGTCACTGACCACACTGGGCGACCGTATTTCCTAGTTTCCTCGCATGCAGCGCCCCTTGTGATGAGGAAGGCTTGTACCTCGTCCATCTTGTCATGGTGGGCTTGCGTGAGGGCACGCTACGTCAACGTGACAAACAGAGAATTGCGTTTTGCATCATACCAGAAAGTCCGCGAGTTTGGCATCAACCCGAGCCTCCATATCGCGCTGCCATGTCGCTAGCTTGCTACGGCGCATGTGAGGCCCTCTTCACAGAGACGCGCAACAACGAACATATCCAAGGTTGCATGCAGGTGCTCATAGCTGCGTGCTTGTACTTGGAGCATCGTCGCACGCTCAGCGTCAAATTCGTTTTGAACCACCGCCATGCACTTGACGAGCTGCTCTGCAAACGCAATCTACATATCTGCGCGCATCCTCGTTTTCGCGTCGCCATCATCGTACCTCGAGTTCCTTGGTGAGCACCGCGATGTCAATGTCGCTGGGCGCTGCGACGGCCATCGGATCGCTGCGCTCCACCGATTCGTGTTGAAACGCCGGCCGTTGTTGAAACGCTTTCTGCCTGTCTATGGCCTTGCTAGACGGACGCCACGTAACTGATGCGAGCGTTTCAACTCGACCACCCTCGCGGATTTGAACCAATCCCATGACGACATTTCAGTAATACTTTCGATTTCAACCAATCACGGGGCCGTATCGACTCTGCCGTCAAGGCCAGTGAAATGCGTGGCATGGCAAATATCCGAATTCTGCCGACGCCAGCATTGACCATGTCTGCCGAGCGCACCTTCTGCGACGAGCTCGAAGAGGACTTGACGGTCGTCGCCAACGAGAGTGAACAGGCCTCGGACATCCTCAAGGGCGATGCGCTCCTCCACTCGATGCGGTCGTCGCTCGTCGGGCACTGGGCGCCATTCGACACGCCGTACGGACCCAAGCCGCTTGTGTACGCCGACTTTACGGCCAGTGGCCGGTCCTTGGCGTGCATTGAAGACTACATGCAAGCCGAAGTGCTGCCGCTCTATGGCAACACGCACACGACAACGTCGATCACGGGGCTCCAGTCGACATGCTTTCGCCACGAGACGCGCCAGATCGTCGCGCAGTGCGTCAACGCCAAAATCACGGGCCGCGGCGCCGAAGACGTCGTGCTCTTCACGGGCAGCGGCAGCACGGCAGCGATCAACAAGCTCGTGCAGCTGCTCGGGTTGCACGTGCCGTTGAGCAGCGACCAGGCGCGGCCGGTCGTGTTTGTCGGGCCGTTCGAGCACCACTCCAACTTGTTGCCGTGGCGCGAGTCGGCGGCCGACGTGGTCCAAATCCCCGAGAACGCAAACGGGTATGCCGACATGGACGTGCTTAGCGCCAAGCTGCTCGAGTACGCCGATCGGCCGCTCAAGATCGGGTCCTTCTCGGCCGCGTCCAACCTGACCGGACAGCTCTCGGACGTCGACGCGATCACGGTGCTCTTGCACATGCACGGCGCGCTTGCGTTTTGGGACTATGCGGCCTGCGCGCCGTACGTGACGATGGACATGAACCCCGTGCTTGTCGGCGACCAGCGGCCGTTTGCGTACAAGGACGGTATCTTCTTCTCGGGGCACAAGTTCCTCGGCGGCCCGGGCTCGCCCGGCGTGCTCGTGCTCAAGAAGCGTCTTCTCGGGAACCCCGTGCCGTCCGCGCCGGGTGGCGGCACTGTGTTTTACGTCACCGAAGACGACCACCGGTACCTCTCAAACCGCGCCGAGCGCGAAGAAGGCGGGACCCCCGACACGCTCGGCTCGATCCGTCTCGGGCTGGCACTCGAGGTCAAGCATCGCATTGGTCTGCCGTTGATTCAAGCCCGCGAAGACGCCCACGTCCAGCGCGTGTTGGCGACGCTGTCGCAGTACCAGAACATTGTCTTGCTCGGGCACGACGACGTGGCGCCGTCGCGCTTGCCGATCTTTTCGTTTCTGCTGACGGCCGGCGACCGCTTCTTGCACTACAACTTTGTGTGCGCGCTTTTGAACGACCTCTTTGGCGTCCAGTCGCGCGGCGGCTGCCAGTGCGCGGGCCCGTACGGCCAGCGCCTCCTCGGCGTCTCCAAGGAGCACCAGCGCGCGCTCGAAGCCGCGCTCATCGACAAGACCGAGGTGCTCCGCCCGGGCTTTTCGCGCGTGAGCTTTCCGTTCATTTTGAGCGACGACGACGTCGACTACATCCTCAAAGCGATTGCTTTTGTGGCCACGCATGGCTGGAAATTCTTGCCGCAGTACAAGTTCAACCACAAGACGGGCGAATGGAAGCACAAGTCGCGCTTCACAAAGTTTCCGACGCGCAAGTGGCTCTCGAAAGCACCTTTTCTCTCGGGCGCGTCGACACCATCGCCGCCGAGCGTCATCGTGCCGTCGACCGACGCGCTCTTTGCCGAGGCCGAGCGCCTCGCGGGTCTCGCGCCTTCGGAAGCCAGCGGTACGGCGGCCAGCCACGGGAGCATGCTCGATCCGTCGAAAGAATCGCTCCGCTGGTTCATCTATCCATCTGAAGTGCTGGGCGCGCTCGCAACGGGCACCGAGCTGCCGCATCGGGCGTCGCCGCTTGGCCCGCTGCAGCCGCAAGCGTACCGTGCCCGCACGCACTTGGTGGCTGTGACCGAGACGGCACCGCCAGCGACAATGGCCACGAGCTGTGCGACGGGCGCCTGCTTCGTGTGCCCGATCGCGCCCAAGACGGAGAAATACCCGCGCCGCAGCAACAACGCGAGTGCCGCCAACCCGCACGAGAGTCTCGCGTCGACGATCGCGGCCACGGGCAAGATCGCCGACCAGGTCGCCAAGACGACGCTCTTTCCGACGCCGCCGCAAAAGGTCATGCGCCTCGTGGGCCAAGCGCTCATGCAATGGGGCATGATCAACGACGGCGACCGGCTCATCTTGGGGGTCTCGGGCGGCAAAGACTCGCTGAGTTTGCTCCACATTTTGCTGACGCTCCAAAAGCGGGCGCCCATTCGGTTTGAACTCGCGTGCGCGACCGTGGACCCGCAAACGCCGTCGTTTGACCCGAGTCCGCTCAAGGAGTACATGAAGACGCTCAACGTCCCGTACTTTTACCTCTCGGAAAACATTGTCGAGCGCGCCATGTGCGAAATGAACGGCGACTCGCTCTGCGCGTACTGCTCGCGCATGAAGCGCGGGCTCCTCTACACGTGCTGCCGCAAGAACGGCTACAACAAGCTCGTGCTCGGCCAGCACCTCGACGATCTGGCCGAGTCGTTCTTCATGTCGGCCATGTACAATGGCCAAGTGCGCACGATGAAGGCCAAGTACTGGAACGATACGAAGGACATTGAGATCATCCGCCCGTTGGCCTACGTGCGCGAAGAGGCGCTCAAGGACTTTGCCTATGCGGCGCGCCTGCCCGTCATCAACGAAAACTGCCCCGCGTGCTTTGAAGAGCCGAAAGAGCGCGAGCGGGTCAAGAAGATGCTCTTCAAGGAGGAGAGCCTCAACCCCGAAATGTACAACAGCTTCCGCCGCGCGCTCTTGCCGCTCATGGACAATGATGTCTACCCGGTCATGAACGACGTCCGTGCCCGCATCGACTCGCAGAAGAAATTCAAGAGCAACGTCGTCAAGTCGACCAAAGCAATCGCCAAAGAGCAAGCGATCGCTGCCGCCGAGCCCAAGCCCGAGCCACCGGCCGACGCCAACTAAACACTACGTAACAATTTTTTTCCTATGTCCTTTGTGGTCACGCCATGGTTTGTCTTCCCGAACCGATAGCGCTGGGCATTTGTCGTCAAGGCTACTCACTGCTGAAGAGGGACGTCATATTTCCGTGCTGATCCAAAAGGCTTTATAGCTGTGCGTGATAGTTGTATTGAGCGATTCGATTGGCTCTATCCGAGGACTCTCCACGAACGGGATTGGCTGAACCAAATCGACACCCACCCTCATTGGCTGAGCTCATTGGCTAATTTTTGCGATCGTCCGGTGACGGGCAGGGGTGACGGGTCTAAATCTCAGCACTTGCGATGCTTATGCTGCAGGCGACGCCGCTCCACTACGCGGCACGCTACGGCCACTGTGACGCTGCGCATGTGCTCTTACGGCCCACGCCGAGATGAACACCGCGGACACGGTGTGTGCGTTCCAAGCCGCTAGACGTATTTTCTCGTCGTACACGTAGCATGACAGCGCTGCAGTTCGCTGTCGACGGCAACGACGTTGATATGACGCATCTATTGTCACTTGCGTGCCCGTCGTCTAGCCCATAGTAGCTAGACACGGTAACGAGATGCTCTATTCTCAACTCGACGTTTATGTCAACCTCTCTCTTTCCCGGGCGTGCCGGAATTTGATTGGTGGATGCAACAGAATGAGATTGCTTGATTGGCTATCACCCAAATGGACCCGAGCCCAGGACGACACGACAGATCCATCTTTTCTTGGGAGCAATAACAGTGCCTGCATGCAGTCTATAGAGCGGACAAGACGCCCAGGATACGATTCTCCAGAAGCGCGTCAACCCCTGCGATGATCCCACGCAACGCCAGGTGGATGAGAATATCAAGTAATAATCAAGCGCAGTATCAAGTGCAGGCAGATCCCAATCGACACCGGTTCGCATTTCTAAATTGTCTCGGTCTTGCTCATGTCCAACGAGGTAGCTGCAAAATCTGACACAAGTGCTCACGATGGTGTCTAGGGCCAACTTCTTGTCGCTCTACGTCGTGGCGACGCAGCCACATTTGCAACGCTGTTGGAAAAAGGCGTCGCATGCATCGCCGTCAACAGCGTACGTCCCTACAAGCTACAGTACAACCAGCGTCGACTCCCAGCACTGCGTAGTGGGGTCAAACGCTGCTGCACGAAGCAGCTGGCAAAGGCCACGTCGAAATCGTTCGTTTGCTTCTGCAGCACCTGCCAAAGGTCCCGTTCCGGCACTTGCAGGTGCCTGTTGGCATCAACGCCACGGATTCTGTGGTACGCGCCATGCACTCTTCCCTGATTGGTGCTGACATTCGATGCATATAATAGCTCGGCGATACGCCGCTCCACTATGCTGTGTATTACAAGCACGTGGCGATCGTCGAGCTGCTTCTCGACGCCCACGCCTCGGTGGTCGTCGCCAACAATGTATATGATTGGCATGGATCGTACCAGTATCCATCTGACACTATCGCATTAGGAACTCGAGACGGCCATTGCGTACGCCAAGCGCTACGGCGCGCACGAGATTTTGCCGCTTTTGCTCGACCGTTTGCCTTGGGAGCTCCCAGTAACGACGCCCGCCGAGGCAGCCTAGTATGTATATATCTAATTACTTAATGACCACACAAAAACATGTCTATCAAAATGAAGTCAAGTTGAATGTGCGTCTTTCAAGCCCACCAGCGAGCCTCCAGGCCCATGGTACCTGCAGTGTAGTCGTACCTAGTACCTGTACACGCCACCCGCATCGTGCGAGCAACTTCCCTAAGCGACACAAGATGATAAGGCGATGAAAAAGCATGTATTCCTTTCGTGTAAACGGCAGTAACTACGCCACAATCTGGTGCTTGCTCGCCCAGGACGGCGTCAGGAAGAGCAGTGGCGCCAAGGACGGATCCCCGGTCGCCAACGCCGTGAGCGCTTGGCACAAGAGCGGGTGCATGTTGTGCGTCTCGGACCCGAGCACGTTGCGCGCCAGTGCTTGCAGCCCCTCACACGCCGTCTCGTTCATCGCGTGCACTTGGGCAATGACGACAAGGAGCGCGTTATGGAAGAGCGGGAAGACGTCGGGAAAGAAGGTCGTGCCACCGACCCACGCCTGCTGGTGCAGCGCGTTCGCGGCCGCCCAGCGACGCAGACACGTTTCGAGATCGGCCACCACAGTCGGGAGACGGACCTTGCCCGTGCGCACAAAGTGCTGGGCGAAAAGCTGCACGAGCAGCTCGTGCTCCTTGAAGTAGTTGCCGCTCTCAGCCTCAAAAATCTTGTCGCAGAGTACGTTGTACGCGTGGCCGTCGGACGCGCTGATGCACTCGTCGAGGCGCGGATAGAGCGCCGTGTACGTCGTCAAGTAGCTCGCAATGGCCTCTTGGAGACGCCCGACGTGGCCAAATGTTTGGGCCAAGTAGGCGACAGCATACGGCAGCACCATCATGTCGGACGGCGCCGCGTGCGCCGACGTGACCAAGGGTGCGACCGTCGCGCGGATGGCCTCACGCACACAGGCTTCGTCGTCCTGGAGCAAGACGAGCGCTGCGAGCCAGCCGTCGACGACCAAGTTGGCGTTCGACTGCTGCGCCAAAAGCTTGCTCAGATGCAAGCTGCGCGCCGCCGCCAGACGAACGACCAGCGGCTGCAGCTCGTCGCTGAGCACTTGAATTTGACACACGAGCGTCTCGGCGAGTGCCGGCGGCGCCGACACCGTCGCCGTCGCATGCAAGAGCGCGAGCACCTGGAGCGCGGCAGCCTTGGACGTGGCGTCGACCGCGTGGACACTGAGCTCGAGCAACGTGGGGAGCGCGGGCGACACGTGCGTCCAGACCTCCAACGATGACGGTGCGAGCGTCACCAGCAGTTGCAACTGGCGGCCCAGCGTCGGCGGGTGTGTTTCGACCACGACTTGCGCGGCAAGAGTTGCGACAAGAGACAGTGGCGCCATCGCCGTCGCTTGGGCCGCACACGCGGTCGTTGTCGACCGCCGGAGCTCAAACACGGAGCTACGGAGGCCGGCGCGCACGACATCGGCATGCACGGGGTGTGCGACAACGTAGCTGACGACAAACGCAGCCACTGCTTGGTGGACGATATCGAGGCCCGGGCTCCGGTGGCGGGGCACGTCGTCCTTGTACAGCACTATGCACGCATCCCACATGCTTTGCGTCAGCTTTGCGTCCGGCGCATGCTGCAGCACACTGGAGACGAGCTGCAAGAACGTGCCCTTGTTGGTCATGCACTTGAGCGCGAGCGCAGAGGGCAGCAGCGCCGTGCACGCTTCCACGATCGGCGCCAGAAGCGCCGCAAACGCCGACGCCGACACGAGCTTCTTGGCCTTGTCGTCGGCCGCACGGTCGAGCAGCGCGAGCAGCTGCAGCAAGGTGCCGTGCATCGCATTGTGCGACGTTCGGCGCGGGATCCACTGCGTTAGCGACGGCAAGAGCGATGCAATCACATCGGCAATGTCCTGCGTCCGGACAATCGCAGCGAGCGCATGGGCGGCAATGCGTCGGTGAAAGATGTGCGATTGTGACGCGCACGCCGTCACCATGGGCACAAAGGTCGAGAGCGGAAGGACGCTCGTGGTCGCCCCGTCGCCCGGCCGGAGGCGGCTCATCAAGAGCAGAAGCGGGTATAGCGCCGAGTTGGTCATCGCCCCGACGTGGTCGGCCAGGAACGTGTCGACGCCCGTGCAGCGCGAAAAGACGTCGGTCGACGAGACACCGTTGGGCGCCGCGCCGTCGGCCACCTGCTTGTCGCCGATCGCGCGCTGGGTCGCGGCCGCAAAGAGCATCATCGACGAGTTCCGGACGGCCCACGACGTGCTCTCAAAGCCATCGATCGCGAGGCGGAGCATCGACGGCACGTGCGCGGCCATGTCTTCAGCAAGCACAGCATCTTGCGCGAGGAGCTTGAGAATGTTGAGCGCATGGACACGCGACTTGTCGATGGCGTTTGCGCGGCCACCGAGACGGAGAAGCACGCTGAGCACCTTGGGCAGCATCGTCGCAGCCGCGTTGCGGGGCTCAGACCGAAGCAGCGCAACAAACGAGCTCGCAAAGCCCGCCGAGCGGCGCAAAATGAACGCCTGCTCCGCGTGCTCGAGACGCGACAGCAGCGTGTCGCACCACTTGGCCGGCCACGTGCCGAGGTGGCGGTGGCGCTCGCTGTGGTGCAGCAGCGATCGGCAAATGCCTTCGAATGCCACCGAGACAGTCGCGACCGCACCGCCATGCTTGAGCTCAAAGAGCGCGTTGAGCAACGTCGCGCCGGCCTTGTGCAACGACGTGAGGAGCGCGTCGTCGGTGACCGTCGCCAGCGGCAGCGCCAGCCGCACGAGCGTGTCCATAGCCGCACCGGCTTCGCGCGCCGCAAGCCAGCTACCGACCACCGCGCGCTGCTCCGTGTCTGGGTCCGTGTCGTCTTCATCGAGGACCACATGGCCACGCGAGTCGACGGCTTTTGCGCGCAGCTGCTCGGACGTAAGGACTTCGTTGGCCACGTCAAACGTGTCATCGAGCGACGCAGCGCCAATGCCCGACGTCGCGTCACCAACGACGCTCAGTGCGAGTTGCATGCTTTCCCAGAGGCACTCGAATGTCGCCGACAGCGTCGTCTGCCACGTCGGCAGCGTCACTTGCGCGTCGTCGAGCAAGAACCGGATCGAGAGCAAGAGGCCGTGGATGAGTGGCGGCTCCGACACGTCCGCGTTCGCACGCACGACGGCAAGACGCGACGCGAGGATGCTCACGAGGTGGTCGACCAAGGCTTGCTGCACCGACGCGCCCACAATCTGCGACTTGGGCACAATACCAAATTGCACGAGAAGCGCGCTCTGCTTGGCCAACAGCCGGAGGAAGAGCGCGCCGGCGTCCGTCTCGCGCTGGCGCGGGCTGCTCGCGAGCGTGAGCGCCCATCGGTACAGCGACTGGAGGTTCACCGCGTCGTCGTAGCCGGGCAGCGGCGACGGAAACGTCTCGAGAATCGAGTACGCAAGCGCACGCACCTTGTCCCACGAGCTAATGAGCGCGTTGAAGAGGGCCTTGGTGACCGCCGGAAACAAGAACGGCGTGCCGTCAAAGATCTGCAAGTACAGCTGGAGGATCTCGAGGCCCATCGTCACTCGCTGCGGCGTCGCGCCGGGGTAGACGCACGCAACGACGAGGTCCGCGACCCAGCGCGGAAACTGGTGCGCCACGTCATCCGTTGTTGCGGCGTCCCGGCGGCAGCTCTTGCGCATGCCGTCGCGGATCCGGAGCAGCATTGCTTTCAGGCCAATGATCGACTTCATGCGAAGCGACGGCGCAATCGACTTGGCGCTGGCGATGAAGAACAGCTGGACGAGCTGCAGGTCCGAGGGCGACGGCAGCGCGGTCGTCTTGAGGCTTGCACACACCATGTCGTACGCTGCCATGCGAATCTCGCCGTCGGCGTGCACAAGCCCAACGTGGACTTCGTCGAGCGTCAGCGTCGGCGGCGACGCCACCGACTTGCGCGCACACTTGACGAGCTCCAGCATCGACCAGAGCCGCGTGTCGGACGCTACGCAAGTCGCATAAGAAGTCCATGAAGAAGGTACATGGACGGTACCTGGCTGCGCGCGGAGAGCGGCAAGGAGCGGCGGTACACTGGCCGCGTCTGATTTGATCAAGATTGGGAGCACATACGTGGCGACGCGGAGGCGGCTGCCCGCGTCATTCGACAAGAGCGCGTGCACAAGGTACGGCACCCACAGACCGGCCCACATAGCAGCATCTTCCGTCGTGCACTTGAGATCGTCGACGACTTGGACAAAGAGACAGGCAGCCGCCGCCGAGACGTCCTTGTTGGCGACGGCCACGAGCACGGACGCAAGGAAGCCTTGATGCGACGCGAGAAGACCCTTTGCCGTCACCTTGGGGAGGAGGACCGTCGTTGCCAGGTACCGCGACCGACTCTCTTCTGGTTGGGCCAGCACCCGCGTAATGATCGCTGTCCACTTGTCCAAACCGGCCGACGCCTTGAGGTCGAGGAGTGCAACGAGGTGCGTGAACATTGGCGTCATAAACTGGTTGATGCGCTTCGACGGATGCTCCCAGTTGAGCAAGACGACGTCGAGAACGTTGAGCACCGAGGCGGGTGTGAGCACATCGGCGGACGTGCGCTGCGCCAGCGCAATCGTACGCCGCAGGAACATCTCGAGCACCTGGAAGGCATACAGACGCGTGTTGAGCGTCGGCGCACCGACGCACGAGCGTAGCACCGTGTCAAATGCCACTTGCAGGACGTTCGAGGATCGGAACGGGCGTTGGAAGGCAGCGTCGTCGATCGCGTTGAAGAGACCGCGGTACAAGGCGAGGCGCGAGAGAGGCGTGAACGCCGAGAGGTCGAGGCACCGGAGCCAGCCGGTGACGCCGGCCGACGACGGAAACACCCATGCGAGCATGTCGCCGGCAAAGTCGTTGCCGTGGTAGTGCAGCTTGAGGAGAAGCGCAGTCACGAGACCGACTTGGGTGAGGAGGTCCTTGGCGACGACGGGCGAGTTGAGCACAATGACGCACTGCTGCACCATGGCCTCGAGCGTCGCATGCAGCGACCGCGGCGACCCGATCGCCGTCGTCGTCGAAAAGAGCACGACGCGCGTGGCGGTCTTTTGCTGCACGGACGCGAGCAAAATGAGCGTCTTGAGAAGGTTTTGGCAACGCTCCGACGCGTGGATGACTTCGGACGACTGCATGACGTCGTCGTCGTCATCGGTCGTGGTCGTCGCGGCGTACGCTGCAATGGGCGCCGAGAGCACGCGCAGCTGCGTCGCGCAAAAGGCGAGCAGCGACGCGAGACCCGGGTGCCCGAGCGGGTGCAGCAGCCAGAGCATCTCGGCAATGTGCGGGCACTCGGCGAGGCCGAGCAGCTGGTCGATGACGTCGAGCGCCTCCGAGGTCGCGTCCGCATCGGTGGCCGTCGCGACCTGAAGAAACGACTCGACTTCGTCCGCGAGGACATCCGAGAGCGACGGCGACGCGAGGTGCGGGAACGCCGCATCGTACGAGAGCAGCGCATCGAGAATCGGGAGGATCGTCTTGCGCATGAGCCGCACCGGCTTGGCAATGTACAGGCGAAAGGCAAAGCGCAGCGCGGTGGACGCAAACGACCAGAGGTCGGCTTGGGCGACGGCGTCGAGCTCGCGGATCGCGGGTGCGGCGGCGACGACAAGCTTGAGGTGCGAGCGGAAGAGCTGCAGCGCCTTGAGCTGCGCGTACGAGTCGGGCGCATGGAGCAGGTTGTGCGTCAGCGCGCCGAGGTCGAGGTCGAGCGTCGCGTTGGCACCGGTATGGAGCGAGACGGCGACCGGCGACGGCAGCAGGATCGAGCGGATGTCGGCGGGCAGCGGCGCGTCGGCGGTCGCGAGGCCATTCGCCTTGACGAGCGTGTTCAGCGACTTCTTCTTCTTGCGCACCATGGCGTTGTGAGCAGCTTGCCGCAAACTGAAACGACGCTGATTGGTCGAAACAACTGGCTGAAAAGCCACCACTGGATTGCATCGGTTTCGCGATCTTTGAGTTTGAGTTTGGAGATGCCAACGCCTTTGCTCGCAAAGACGCTGCACGCTGCATACAAGGGTGCTGCAGGGCCGCAGTGGTGGGCGTAGCGAATTGCTGGGTGCGTTTATCCATCCCTACGTATATCGCCGCGCAATTGCAGGGCGAAACGCGGCGAGGGCCAAATTACCCAACCAAACGCATTTTGGGGAGCCTGCCGTGGACTTGGACTCTACGGAAGCTTTGAGAACGATGACGACGACCAACAGTCGACGATGCCGGCGTCACGACGAGCGGGCAGCATTCCAAGTTTGCGCTGGGTCCGGGTGCAGAGCGCCAACCGGTTTGGCCATGCGGTTTGGCGGTGGTGGACGTTTGTAACCGTCTCGAACCGGTTCCACGCGCCGGTTGTTCTTGCATTCGGCATTTTGTTTGCGGCATATGCCACGTTGCAGTAGATACCGCGAAGGGGCGCCGGCCTTCTTGGCGCAGTCGAGCAATCATGCCCTTTGGCACAGCGCTGCGGTCGCCATCGGGCTCGGAGCGCGACTTTGCCGCTGGAGCGTACGAGTATGAGCCCGAGCTGCCGCGGCCAAGCAAGCGGGCGCCGGCCAAGGCACCGCCACTCGCGACCAGCACGACCGCGCTCATCACCAAGATCCGCAAGCAGGCCAAAGAGCTCAGCGAGCTCCACGAAGAGCTTGCAACCAAGGACAAGCTCATCGAGAAGCTGCGCAGCGCCAAGATGAGCGGGCAGGTTATTGTGCAAGGCGAGCGCCAGCGCATCAAGTCGAAGGAGGCCGAGGCCGACGAGTGGAAGCTCAAGTTTGAGCGCGAGCAAAAGCGGTGCGAAGCCGCGCTGCGGCGCATCAAGGATCTCAAATCGACATTCAACAACACTTCATCTTCGCCTACGACGCCAGCACCATATTCGCCGGTCTCCTTTGAGCGTTGGGCGACCTCGTTGCTGATATGTGGTCGTGTAGGCCAAGTCGGTGGCTTCGTCCTCCGAGGCCTCGGACGACCCGGACCAGCGCAACTACATTCGAATCCTCGAAGATGCTGTGCGCATCAAGGCCGACGAGCTCAACATTAGCGGCCACGCCGAGCTGCTCCTCGTTCTCGCCGAGCTCCGGCACACAACGTCGACCCAAGATGAAGCGCTGAAGCTCAAGGATGCCCGTATTAGTGAGCTCGAACGCTTGCAGTCGGTACGAGTATTCGGCTGCTATCACTTCTTATATCATATAACGAGCAACTAGGGCCCCGAGGCGCCAAATGCCAAAGAGCAAAGCGATGCGATCATGGACTATGCACACTCGCTCTCCGACAAGCAGAAGACCATGGCCTCCCACGTACTACGTCAACCCTAACCACGATCTTTGCGATTTCCTAGTCACGGAGGCGGTGTAGACTGCCGAGCTTAGCCAGCAAGTGACCAAGCTGCGTGAGGACCTCGCCGCGTCACAGGCCGAATTGCGCAAGGTCGCCGACCAGTACAACGCGCTCTTGACCGACTACGACGCGACGCAAGCCGCCTTGGCTGTAGCCTCGCATGCGCGCACCGCGGTCGAACAAACAAACAAGGATAACGAAGCGCGGCTTGCAGCGTTTGAAGCCGCAGCGGACGGCCAAGCGAATACTTTGCACGAGCTCAAGGCGCTTCAAGACGAGTTGCTCCAGAGCATCAGCGAGGCGCAGACGCGCGAACGCAGCGCGCAACAGTCCTTGCACGACCTCCGCGCGGAGCTTCAGTCGGCCATCGCCGCCAAAGACGACACGGACCGTCGCAGTGCGCGGCTGCATGAGAGTGTAGCTTACCTGGAACAGGACAATGCCACCCTCCGAGATGACGTCGCAGCGCTGCGCCAGTCGTACCAAACGCTCCAAGCGGCCAAGGTAGCGTGGCTCATTCATGTTGTCTACTTCGAGTGCGCTGACCATATGCATCTGGTGTAGACCGCGCTGCAGACCGAACTCGATGAGATGCGTGCGTTTGAAGCGTCCTTTGGGGACCTCTCGGCCGTGCGCAAGGGGTACGCGGATGTCACCGAGACCGCGCGCAAGCTCCGCACTGATTTGCACACGATCGACCAGTTTGTGTCGCACGCGCCACGGCTTGACGTCTCGTCGTCCGCGGGCAGCCACGGCTCGTTTCTCGAGTGGTTTCTTGTTGGGGATCTGGTCGGCCGCGTCGCGCTACTCGAACAGCGTCGGTTGCCGCCACCTTTTCTCGAGCGCCTACCCAAGCTCGCGGCCTATCTGCACGAGATCTACAATAGCGTCTCCAATGTTGTCTCGCACGTCGCCCAGATGGAAGCGTCGTGGGCACGGGAGAAGTTCAACCTCGTAGCGGCCCGCGATGCGTTTGACGCGTCAGCCACTTTGATGCAGAACGAGCTCGGCATGATGCAGACGTGGAACGCACAGCTCCACGACGACTGTCAACAGGTACCACACGTCATCCTTCCTGGCCCACCCTAGCGCATGCCATGGAGCGTAGAAGCACCGTCGCCTGGTCGAGATCGAGCAGCGTCTCAGCGTCGCCGATGCGCTTGTGGCTGAAACGAGCGCACGATCAAATGAACTCCAAGACCAACTCAACGAGAGCCAAGATGCATTGGTGCAGCTACGTCTGCAGGTCGAGACGGACGCGACGCAGGTACCCGCCATTGAGGTCCTTTCTCGACTAAATTTGGTGGTCGTAGAAGCACGTGCAAGAGGAAGAGCTGCATTGCCTGAGAGAGCAAGTCGCAGACATGGCCGAGCGCGTGGCGGCAGCGTCGGCCAGCACCGCTGCCATCACACGCGAGCGAGACGAAGCGCGAAGCGCCCTCGAGCAGCTGCGGGCGGCGCTCGCAACGGCGCAGTGTGACGTCGACGAAGCCCGCGCCGCGCACGACGCACTGAGTGCGACGGCGGACCGTCTTCGCGTCGAGAAGATCGACCTCGAGGCTTCGCTGGGCACGCTAACGTCGCGTCTGCACGAGGTTTTTGTATCGATTTGTCGTCCATGGTATCAATTTGAAACATTGATAGATCGAGGCGTCGCTGGAAACCACGTCGGCGACCCTGCACGAGAAGCGCGGACAGCTCGAGACGACAAAGACTCATGTCCATTCGCTTCAAAATGCGATTTGGGACATGTACATCGTGCTCAAGCCGCGGCTCCCGGCTTTGACACCGCCGCCACACGACGCCCTCGAGGTCGTACGCAGCCTTCCGACGGCCATCGATGCTCTCGTGGAAGCCGAGGTGAAGGCGTCGTCGACGGTGGCGCTCAAGCAGTCACTCTTGCAGCACTGTGAGAGCGTCGACTACGCCGAGCCCTCGCTCTCGCTCGTGCGTGAACTTCAGCGAGACCTCGCACAGACCCAAGACGAGAACCAGGCAAGTTCAGTCGTCCAATACTGGTGTCCAACCTATTGCAATTACCAGACGCTCAAGATGCAGCTTTCCGGCGCGCGTGCCGATGCGTGGGGCTCGCATCGACCCGAGACCCCAATAGTCTTAGCCCCAGCACCCGAAGAAGACCGGCGCGCTACCGTTGCGGCCAGCTTGCGCAAGAAGCTCACGCCCCACGAACTGCAGCGGCTACACGCCAAGCCACCGCCACCCACCACCAAGGTTCGTACGAGGAAATGCGAACAGGTTGGCCAACGTAGAAATGTAGACACCGCGACTGGACTCGCAAGCGCTGGCCGAAGCCTACGTGCTGCAGTCCAAGAACGCGTCGCTCGAGGAGCAGCTGCATCGCCTGCACTCGGCCTTTGCGTCCTTTCGCACCGATATGTAGAAAGACATGCAGCAGATCGATACACAGGATGCTTAAGCAGTGGTTGTCGCTTCGTCTTGGGCCTTGCGCCGCAGGTACTCGTCGCGCTCGGCGCGCTTGATGGCGCGGATCTCGGCTTCGTTGCGAGCAACAATGTCATCTAATACGTGGCGTGAGCCGGCATGCCGATGGAAGGCGTGACATACAGAAGCCCGTCTTGACCATGAAGACCTCCATGCCCATGCCAATGACAAAGCACGCGGGCACGAGCTTCTTGAGGAGCGGCGTGAGCGACGCCTTGGGCACGACCGGGGCCATCCCAACGTTCGTTCAAAAATGGTGCAAGGCCATTGGCCTGTTATTGGCTCCGTTTGGTTGGTCTTTTATTCTATTTTTGTGCGATGCCATTGGCTGAGACCACGCATTTAAGCCAATCAAGTCGTCGCACGCCGATCGCAACATGCTGCAGCGCCGACCGATCGGTGCCGAGACCCACTGCATCAAGATCCAAGTACGACCCGGCGCTGCGATGGCACTTGACTAGCGCGTGCTAGTAGGCGGCGTACCGGGGTTGGCGCGTGCGGCGGCTTCTTCTGCACGACGTGCGCGATGCATTCGCCCAGATCGTGCGCGAGCTCGAGACGGACAGCTTGACACACCTCTTACTGCAGTGCGACGCCACGACAATTGCATGGCCGTCGACGCGCCTTTGCTACCCGCGCTTCACAGCTGGCCTCGTCACGTCGTATGCTATCCAGCGTCGTGATGTGTTGCTTGATGTCTCGATGGTAGGCCGCCTGTCCGAGCGACCACGCAAGCGATCGAGTCTCTGGACGACGTAAAGGCCACCGCGCCACCACGAGAGCCAATGGTAGAGGTATTGCGACCGAAAGCGCTTGCAGCTGAGTTGCTCGTCGAGCCACCGATGCAGCTGATCAAGGTGGCGCCGTATACAGCCTCGGCCGTGTCGGCAATGACCAGCACCATCGTCCGTGTCCACAGAGAAGAGCCGGCCATCGAGAGCACGCCTGTGCACCTCGTCCATGCACCACAACCCGCGAGCATTGCACATCTTGACCGAGAGCAATGGACCCAAAGCGAGTCGCGTTGGACTGTCCATGCCTTATTGCAAATGGACCCGAAACATATTCAGGACGAGCTTCTGTGGGCAAAGGACGCTCTTCGCGAACGCATCGAGGTACTTGGCGTAATGTGCATACTCCATACGACATATTTGCCTAGTTTTTGCGGGCACGGTCCGCCGCCTCGGTGCTCTCTTCTGAACGACAAGATATCCCGTCCAAGACAACCTAACCACAGCCAATGTGTCATGGACAGCCCTTTGGCCATACATTGTTCTCGCATCTCTAGCATGTAGTAGCCCTTGCAGAGCTAACACGTCGCTTCGGGCTGCGGACGCATGCTGCGTTCGGGGCGCTGTTAGGACCACACAGTGCACACTTTAGCGGTTCGTGGAGATAATGATTAGGGATACTAGACGGGGATGGATCTCTCCGTGCGCAGCTCACTCCCAACGACCAAGTGCTGGTGCCAACTCCCACGCATTCAGGCGTAGCGCTACGTATGCGAAGTCTTTGTGTCATAATGAAGATAACGCGGAACACGTTTATATATATATATAGACGGGGAGGGGGGACATGGCGTCATCTTCGTAGACCAAATGGCACTCTTCGTCTTCGATATTTTCGCGAACGAAGTGCTGGCACGCATACAGGAGGACGGTGGGCGCGCCGAGGAAGAGCAAAATGCACGTGTAGTCGCCGCCGAGGTACGTCTGCGCGATCGTGTTGATGCCGTAGTTGAGCGAGCAAAGAAGAAAGCTGGCGGCCGTAATGAACGCCTGGAGCGTTCCGTAGAGCCGTGTGGGATAGCAAATCACTACAATAGAGCTCGTTGTCGCAGGTCAAAGAGCGAAGAAAGACGTACTGATGTAGGCGAATTGGAGGCTGTAGAGACTCGACTGCGCAATCGACATGAAGAGAAAGCCGAGGAGCTGGACTTCAAGCACCGGGACAAGCAACGTCAAGAGAAAGAGCTGCGTGAGGAGCAGACATCCACCAAAGACGCGGCGAAACCCGACAGTGTCAATGCAGTGGCCGACGATCGGGGCAAAGAGGAACGTGCTGTTGGAGACAAGCGGGAAGACATAGTTGATGTAGACATCGGCCTTGGCGACATCCGTCCCGGCCGTCTTGGCGATCATGCTGGGAATCGCGCCGCCCGTAAATGAAAAAACGAGCGAGAGCCATCCAAAAAAGAAGGCAAAGTGCCAGAGATCCCCGCTTTGAAGCGTGCGCTGGAGTCCCTCAAAGAGTAGCGTCGGCTTCTATGTCACGCGATAGTGTCATATTATGAGACTTCACCGTAGTTGAGCCAACATGGAGAGACAATATACCCGCGGACGAGGAATGTAGCAGCTCACACCCGGCACCCGCACGCGTTCTTTGGCCGAGTGGATGTTCTTCGCTGGATAAATAAGAAAGCAGACGCAAAAGCAAATTGCGACGAGGATGCTAGACATGACAATTATGTACATGTTGTACAGCGTGTTGTGGACGTACGCGTAACCTTCGAAAAAGTGGTGGCGCGTCATCCCTGGCAGTTTAAGGAGCATGTAGACATAAGCTACGATGAAAAATGTAGTTGAACGCTCCGATACCAAGGAAAAGAAGGTACCAGAGATGTTGAAGATGCTCGACATGATGCTGCACGGAATGCCTTGGGCGTCAAAGAGGTTGATTACTTGAAACGACGAGAGGAAGAGGCCCATGCCGCCCATGCCAATGAGGCCATACCCAACGATGATGCCGGCGCCATTGAGAACGCTCGAGTCGCCGACAGAGACGAGTACATTGCCAAGCATCGCGAGCTATAGCACTCATCAATATACATGTCGAAAGGTGGTATTACCAAGAGGCCGAGCAGCGCCGAGACGCGTGGGCCGATGATGTCGATGCTGAGCCCAAAGACAACGTTGGCGGCGCTTAAAAGGAGGAAGCTTGTCGAGTAGGTGTACTGGAGGCGAATCTCTTGCTCGGGGCACACGCCTGGCGAGTCGCAGAGCTCGTGCCACTGCTGCTCGGCCACGAGCGTCGTGTAAAATGGGCCAAACCTTAAGTACCTTGTGAGATCGATGCGCCGCATGCAAGAAACGCACCCGAGGATGAGGCCGCCCGAGCACAACGTCGTGAGCACGCAGCTAATGCAGAAGAGCACGCGGCGATCGATGGTATACGAGCCCGGGCGCGTCGGCGGCGAGAGCACGAGCGGCGGCGGCTGCATCGAGAGCGCGTCGCTGGTCGTTGGGATCGGCGACGAGACCCAGAGGTTGCTGGTCGAGAGCGACCGCTGCGAGCGGCCGAGCTGCAGGCGGGGCGGCGATCGCAGCTCGCGGAGGTCCAGCTTCGGGCTCATGCCAGCGTCCGGCCGTTTGGGTACTGTTACCTAATCAGCGGCAGCTATTTCGACGAGCCAATCAGCGCCGACGAGCCAAGGCCTTTTTCTGGGACATGCGGATGACTCAGTGAAAAAGCCTGGTTTTGTCCTCAGACTAGGATCTTCAAGGCCGAATTTCAATTTCGGGCGGATCGCACTGAAGATTTCAACAGCATGCGACGATGCCGAGGGTGGCTGCATCGCCAGCATGGCTCACAGCAGCAATGCAGTGCGTTTTACGTGCTTGGAGTTGGGAACACGAGACGTAAAGACGGCGGTTGGCCGCGAAGGAAGCCCGACGAAGGGCGTATCTGCGACATGCGTAATGACTCATTTCCTAAATTCGGCAAAGTCCGAAATGGATCTGAATCGTTGCCGCAGCGACTCACCAAAGTCGATCCGCCGGTTGAAAAATGACGTCGCTCAAACTACGCCCATTGATAGAGCACACTTGTGCGAGCTCAAAGTGCTTTGTCGCATCGTCAGACAAGGCGTACAGCCATCGCTACGACCTATTTTATTATATATGGCGTGCGCCATATCTACTATAAATAGCCATATTTAATCGAATCGGGAACCGACGCTCTGCAAGCTGTTGGTATTAATGTATTATTCGCTCTTCTGCCCCTGTGTTTTGACGATGACTCTACGTTGACATTTCCATTTGAGCTGCCCGAACGTTGGCGCGAAAAATTGCTCGATTGGGATGGTCCTTAACTCGGGAGCTGGTCAACACATTCACAACGACTAGACCGCAATTGAACACATATTGCGTGTGTTTGTGTGCACATTCTTGTGCCTCCTTTAAGAGTTGTCAAGCTGACACTTGGGACAGCGAAGCACAAAGCAGAGGAACGAAGCTAAGAAGAGGAAGAAGAAGAAGAGGGGGCACACGGGGAGCAAGCCAGAACGGAACCAAAACAGAAGTAAGCGACCGTGGGGTCCCCACGACCAATGACCCGGATTGTATTCAGGACATTACGGGACATTGTGGTGGCTTCCGCAGTGCAACGCAAACAACGCAGCGAGGGGAGAGCCATTTCCCATGAAGCAGGCAGTTGTATTGCATTACGCCACGAAGACAGATTCAGAACTGAGACTATGGAGGCCAGCGTTGTGGATAGAACGATAAGAACGATAGGCTGTGCCGGATGGGACCATCGTCAAGAGGTTCCATGAAGGGTCACAACCGTCAACGGTCGCTACCTGACATCATCTGTATATGGCACCGAGCCCAATCCTATCTACACCACACACAGACTCCCAGACTCTAGGCTACTCGCTTCCTGGAGTCATAACTCTCCAGCGACATACGCTTGCATTGGCCGGGCATGGCTTCACTACAACCCAGACACAACAACATACAAACTATTAGAGAGGTGGGCAAAACCTCCGAGTGGAGGGAAAACCCTAGCCTCAGGTGGGAAACCAATGAGAGAGGTTGGACAAAACCATCTAAGCGGACAAGCAACGAAGGTGTGTCATCTTCGTGTCGAGCCTCTCGAGGTGCTCTCTGGACAAGAATCAACACTTGACCAGTTACATAAATACCTCTCGTTGCAGCGGTTATAAAATAGGGATGGAGTTCGATACGATACTGGCGCGCTCAATAGAAGCGCGGGCCTGACCGACCGACGGGTGTGCGTTCAACGTGGTCCATGACACAGGTGACGCATGCCTTTGTGGTCGTTTTGCCCGTGATTTGGCGCGGGAGGGCGACCGGCATGCGAATCAAACACTGACTGCAGACAAGTTCTCCGCACACGCGGCAGTGGTGCTTGCGCCGAAAAGGATTGAACGACGCCTTGCAGAGGAGGCAGAATTGGCGCGAGTGGTTGGGTACCCACTCAAGAGGGCTCGCAAGCCGGTCGACGAGGAGCACATCGCAGGACGCCGAGTGACTCCGGCTCGTCATCGAAGTCGACGTCGACGACGACGAGAGCGACGAGCACGACGAAGCATTACTGCGCGACGACGGACATGGTGCGGTCTCGTCCAGCACGATAATGCACAGCAAGCAGACCTTGACGTCGTTTTTACCGGGCAGCGTCATCTCGACAGCTTCTCGGACAAGGCAGTTGGAGCAGGCGAGGTCGCCGCACTACAAGGCGTACACATGAGCTTGGCACCATGGATGATATTGACGCGTACGACGCGGCAGTGGTGCTTGCGGCGAAGGAGGTTAAAGCTGCGCGAGCACACGCGGCAGCTGTCGCGCTGCTCGTCGTCGACCCATTTGGTCGGGTGCATGACGTACTCGAGCGGCAGCACGTAGTTGCTCCGCGTTGGCTCCTTGATGGTCGCGTCGACTGCGGTCGCCATGGCAAATACGGAAATGCCAAGCCGTGCACACGTAGATCGGGGCAGAGAAAGGAGCTCAAGTGTGCATACTTTTGTTACCTGACCAGCCGTTCCGACCCGCCATATGACTGACCACCAAGCACACAAACAAGCGTGACGCCGCCGGTATCCTAGATGCTTGGTGCGCCATCGACGACACCATCTCCTAAAGTAACTTGCACGCGCTTGACACGTATATGAGCTGCGAGGGTCGAGGCGGCGGCTTACTAACAGCGCGACGACCTTCGACGGACGTCCGTGCAAAGATGCACCATCAGAAATCGGTGGCCACGAGCACACGCTGGAAAAATGATCGGCGGCGCCGCAAGGTGTGTGCTGGGTGAAGAAGGAGCCCTGTCCGCATCGTTCGAGGTGCGACGTGGGTTGGATCGGCAGGCGACTTGCAGACTGTACAGTACGAGTAGGAAGCTGCGGCCACGGAGATGGGTCGAGTAGAGGAGCGCAGTTCCAATCTCGACGTTGCTGTTCGGTGGCCGTGTCTGGGTGCTTCCAGCGACTGACCACCTCGTTCTTCGAACACGCCAACGAACGGTGCGCATGCGGTGATGCGCTGGTGGACGGCTCTGTCCGACCATAAAGCAAGTGTTTTCGCCATGATCGCAATCAATGACGCGCCATGCAAGGCGACGACATTGCTTTTTCGCCTTCACAAGTCGCCACCAGAGGCGCATCTTGCTTCAAGTAGTAGCAATGTACCTGCCGTACTAGGCCATCCCACTGCCGCGATGGCGCCAGTGTATCGCATGGCAGGGTCCTTTGCCGCTGCAAAGACAGCTCAGCAGGTGCCACGTCTATGTGGGCCGACTGGTGTGGCATCTTGGTCATCCGCTTCTTTGGATGACGAGACGTGGGGAGCGCTAAGCTTACAGTTGCCGGAACGACAAGGGCGCAAGGCGTGTCGTCGCACCAGCATCCATATTTGCCTGGAAAGCCATCCAACGACGCCATTTTCAAGAGCGACGAAGGGCCGTTCGGTAGCGCCAATGAACTGCGTGCTGCAAAATACATTCTAGCTACGAACGATGCCTTAGATATTGCAGGAAATGTCTACCCACTAAAGCACTTGGTGGGGAGTGCGTCAAAACTGCAATGTCGTGTTGCGATCGTCTATCACCTCTGGTAGATTCATGAAACAGAACCGTCGTGGAGGTGCTCCGAGCTGCAAGCGTAGCGGCACCGTTTAACCGACGTTCAAAGAACTTGCACCAGTAGTGGCTACACCGTGGTCGCCTTTGTAGAGACGACTTCAATGGCTTGAACTTTGATTGTCTGCAACGGCGTGTCGGCAAGCTCGTTTTTCCCCCGCGGCTTTTCGATACGAAACCTAGCTTCAGGTTGCAGAACATTGTCTGTCTTGGCGCTAAACCTAATAGTCGTAGACTGATAGACCCGACATGGACCAATCATGTGTGCCGTGTATACATCACGTTGGTGCTTTGCGGAACAAAAACGCGCGATTCAACGGACCAATCACAGCGCTTGGCGACGGGATGCTTGGTGGTTGTGCATTTGAAATCTCCAAAACCATCAGAGTGCAATAGAATTTGGGGACGGGAATATCTGGTCGTGTTTCGCATTTACATCACGTAAACTATTCAATCGCCACTCGTGACTTCCTCGCGACTGCCCGCGACCCACTCAAGACCCACCAAAGCCCGACCAACGACTTTCCGTGACTCCCTTGCGGCGACTTCGCTCCCAACAGTGTACTGGAATGCGACTTTCTCAGGTGCCTACAACGCTGTGTGAAACCATACTTTAGCTCCTACCACACGCCTAGCGAGCACTCGCACGTTGATGCATGCGTGCAACACAGCCACATCAAGGGACAAACTATGCTCCAATCACAGCATGGCAGTACACGACTCGATAGGCCCTTGATCGCTTTGGAGAAGCTGTTTCCTACTTCATGCTGCAAGAGGTCGTATCCAAGCAGGCGCAAGTGTACTATGAAACACAGTACAGTATCGACATCAACCATGGTGCGACTCCTGTCCAACTCGGGCGTGCCGCACGCACGCAGCGTGGACGACGCGTCCATTTTCTTCTTGGAACGTTCCCCACCTGGATTTCATTTGCGACATGTCGCAAAACGCACAAGTTGTCCATTACAGCGCCTGTCGCACGCAATGCAGTGAACCGATCGATGCGATCGAGACCGCTGAACGGGTGCCGATGTTTCGTAAGACGTGGGACGCACCGTCGGTTCTATGGGTGCACCCGTGCGTACAGGGTGCGACGCTCGCCAAGCGACGCTTTTGTTGGTTCTCCACGCAGCCCGGACCGTTTTTGGTCCATCAAGTGCCGATCTTCGCAATCACTGCGTGCCGCACGCTACGGGATACCCTTCCGAGAACGCTCCGACCGCTAGGATCCATCGTGTTGCACATCCTCGCGGGTTGAGAACCGAGTGCAATCGTTCGTGCCGTGCACCTCCCAATCGACAACTCGCCAATCACTTTTTCATTTTCCATTTTGAAACCACAGAGCGTGATCATGGTGATCGTATCTCGACCGACAGCGCTGGGTCTCTTGCTGCACACGGCGGTCGCGGCTGGTGCTCTCACCTGCACCCGCGATCCCTCCATCAAGAGCGCTGTTGGCAACTGGTGCATGTGTCAACCGTGCCATCTCTGCGAGTTTTCGCTTCTCAGAGGATGCCAGCCCATCGCGACGAACGCCATTTCGCTCTCGAACGGGTCGGACATGCCCTCCAAGCAGCCGATTACGGACCCGACTGCGTGGTTCCTCTCCGAAGCCGAGCTCACGCGCAGCCGCGGCGGTGTGTCCCGGACGTCGCTCGCGACAGCGACATCCGGCAACCTCGTCGACGTCTACCCGGACACGAGCAGCGCATTTGCAGCCATGCACGACGACGTCACGATCGCGAACGCGGCGTACTTTACGAGCTGGACGATGCACGACCTCCAGTACAAGCCGCAGGTCGACCCGTCCATCACCTTCAAGTCGACGTGGGGCAAAGCGATCGCCGAGCACAAGCTCAAGGTGCGCGGTCTCGTGTGGGAAAACCTCGTCGAGCTTGGCAACGTCACCGATATGTTTGCGTGGATGAACTCGCTACCGGCCGACGACGTCCAGCTCATGACCGACGACCGCGTCCCCGCCATCACAGGCTCACTGCATCAAAAGACGCTCTCACTCACGCAAGGCAAGCGCCTCTGGTCGTACGTCGGCGGCCTCGACGCGGGTCTCAACCGATGGGACACCAAGTACCACAACGAGACGGCGCTACGCGCGTCGGCGCATGTCGATGTGAGCAGCCACGGCTGGCTCGATGTCCACGCGCGCATTGACGGCCCCGGTGCCGTCGACATCCTCGGCAACTTTCTTGATCGGTGGAACGATCCCGCGCACCCAAGTGCCGCGTGGGGGCCCCCGCTCGTGAACCCCCCCGTGCCCCTCCAGGCATCGTGGAACGTGCCCCGGGACGTGATTGCGCCGGCGTCGATTCTTGACAGCGTGACCATCGATACGGCCGCCGGTCCCCACGACGTCCAGGTCCTCCGCACGTTTAGCTGCAAGTACAAGGGCTACAAGTCGTTTGCCCCGAAGGGCGAGTCGTCGATCCTCGCAGGCCGCATCAAGGCGATTCGGAACGCCAAGAACTACATTTACATTGAAGACCAGTACTTTGTCCACGTGCCCGAGCTCCTCGACGAGCTGCTCAAGGTCCTGCCGCGTATCCAGCGCCTCGTCATCTTCACGGTCACGCCGGAAGGCAGCGAGGCCGCCGTCGGGTACCAAAAGTACCAGTTTGACATGATCGCGCCGCTGCTCGAGAAGTTTCCCAACAAGGTCCAGATCTACGTGCCGCGGCCGCACCTTGGAATCTACGTGCACTCCAAGTCGATGATCGTCGACGACGTCTACGTCTCGGTCGGCTCGAGCAACTGGAACGTCCGCAGCATGACGTCGGACGCTGAGATTGGTGCCAATGTCGTCGACACGACGCTTGTCCAAGACGGGTCGATCACGGTCGCCAAGCATGCGCGGGACTACCGCATCGCCAAGTTTAGCGAGCTGATTGGCTTTTCCGTCGACCTCGCCAAGCTGTCGTTTTTGGCCGCCGCCGACGCGCTCGAGGCGTACGCGACGTCGCCGACTGCGTGGATCCAGCCGTACCTGATCTACGAGAAGCCGTTCTGGGTCGTCTACACGGATATTCACAAGGACCTCATTGACGGCGATGGCCGGTGCCCGAACGCCAAGCTGGAAGATGGCGAGATCGACGTCGGTTGCAGCAACACGGACTGGCTCGCGAACCAAGCCCGCGTCACGCAAGTCACTTGTGCGTGCTTGGCCAAGGGCCTCACGATCTACAACTGCCCGGACCTCGACGACTACATGGTCCACGAACAAGCGGCGTTTGAATCGTCCATGAATTGGTGAGTGAACTTATCAACTATAAAAATGAATCACTTTTGTACATGCACACGTCGTCGACTCGACTGTCGGAGGTGTCGATGCGAAATTCTCTCGTCTGTCCTACCGGCGGTGCCGGAATTGTTCGAGTCGTGGGATCGAGCGGCAGCAAATGACGTCGATGTACCGACTCTCGATTTGAAGCGTTTAGTAAGTAAATGAATGAGGTTTACCCACGGGATGGATCTCTCCGTGCGCAGCTCACTCCCAACGACCAAGTGCTGGTGCCAACTCCCACGCATTCAGGCGTAGCGCTACGTATGCGAAGTCTTGGTGTCATAATGAAGATAACGCAGAACACGTTCATATATATATAAATAAATGAATTAGGTTATAGTTTGTTAGTCTCATACCAACTAACTTGAAGCAAAGGTTGTGACTGCAGAAGTTTTAACTGGTGGTAGAACCGGCCCAACTCTGCGTACATAGTGGCGCCGTTGACATGACACAACCTGGACGATGGCTCACTCGTCTTGGAAGGTTCAAGTTACGCCATGCCAATCGCGCTGCCAGGATGTTGTGATGACGATTGCAACACTGTATATTGTTGTGCTTTGTGGATACACAGTGTGGCGAGTGCCCTTGCTGTAGCATTCCCAGCACCTCGACGCAAAACGCGCTACGAGGCAACATCCTCGCCCAGGTGCAATGCACTGTATCGTACAGTGTAGTTGACACGCGCCGTGCGTGCGCCTTTGCTTCTCCACCTCTTTGCTTTGCATAGCCTGGGCGAGTTGTGTCTCGTCGAGTGATCCCGGGCACTGCCCACGCATCGCCGCAGTGGTACTGGAGGTTGCTTTGGCGTGCTGCTCGAACCTTCATCAATACAGATACATCGTCATGCATCATGGTTGATGCTAAGTCCTTTCACATCTGCAAGAGCAAGGCAACACGATGCGGCCTGGTCCCTTTCTAGCGACACGCACCGTGATCTCCATCAACGGCCACTGCACTTGAAGCACGGATCCACCCTTTCTGTTTGCATCCGCAATACCAACTTGTCTTTCTTTTGGCGTCTCGGCACGTGCGACGGTTGAGAGCGTGCGGGCCAACGCCAATCAGAGTCGAGCAGTCTGCATGCTCGTCCAAAGTCGGTCCAATCATGACCAACATCTGTTTTAATGTGGGCAGTTACACATCACGCCGGATGGACGGTGGCAGTGCTGCAGGTGTAGGTCTAGGCAATCATGGATACTACACGAGCACGCATGGATCACATCATCGTGCACGTCGCGTGCGCTGTGAGATTGGCCCAACAGCAAACTCCAACTCACTATCCAACTTTTTCTCGACTTGAAGAAACATGGTTCACGTGTGGTGCTATCTCAGCGCGTTCGCCGCGGCGACGGTCGTCTCGGGGTCGGTCACTTGCACGCGGGATTCGTCGATGATGAACGCGCTCAACAACTGGTGCATGTGTCGGCCGTGCCATCTCTGCGAGTTTTCGTTGCGCAAGGGGTGCCAGCCGCTGCCACTCCAGGCCACGACGACGTCGAACGGGTCCGAGATCGCACCGACGCAGCCAATTTTAGACTCGAACGCTTGGTTTTTGACCGAGGACGAGCTCACCAAGAGCCGTGGCGGCGTCGTGCGGTCGTCGCTCACGCCGTCCACATCCGGGAACCGTGTCCGTGTCTTCCCCGATACGAGCGCGGCGTTCGAGTCGATGCACACGGACGTCTTGTCGGCATCGTCGGCGTACTTTACGGGCTGGTCGGTCAACGACATTCCGTACATCCCGCAGATCGACCCGTCCGCAACGTTCAAGACAACGTGGGGCAAGGCCATCGAAGCCAACAAGCTCAAGGCGCACGGCCTTGTGTGGTCCAACCTCATCGACTTGGCCCAGGTCACCGACATTTTTGCGTGGATGAACTCGCATCCGTTGACCAACACGTCGTCGGTGCAGCTCATGACCGACAACCGGATTCCCGGGCCGTCCGGGTCGCTCCATCAAAAGAGCTTGATCGTCACGCGCGGCACCGAGCTCGCGGCGTACGTCGGCGGTCTCGACCAAGCGCTCGATCGCTGGGACACCAAGCACCACAACGTCTCGAGCCTTCGCGCGTCGGCCAAGATCCAAGTCGACTTTAACGGCTGGGTCGATGTCCACGCGCGCGTCAATGGCCCAGCGTCGACCGATATTCTCGGCAATTTTTTGGACCGATGGAACGACCCAGACCACCCGGGGTCGCCGCTGGGCAAGCCGTTTGTGTCGCCCCCGGCGCCGCTCCAGTCGTCGTGGAACGTACCTCAGAAAGAGATCGCCGCCGACGCCGTCTTGAGCGCCGTCGACGTCGATACCAGTGTCGGTACGCACGACGT